TATCACAGGAGTTTCCCCATATGATAATACCATAGGAAAGTATCGAATGTGTGTACGCATAATATGCTGCTAATGCTGTACGTATGTCCGTAATTCGTTTAAGATGTTTGAGGGCATATATAAAAGAAGATAACTTACATGATATTCTACCTATGTGTTGCATCCAGTTTAAATATGTGTCCAGCTCCAGTCCCAACAGGGTAGCGGAATTTACAGTTCCTAATTTTGCATTATTAAAGTTATATGTTAAATGTAAAGCGGTTTTTTGGTAAGGTTTAATTGAATAATTTTAGTTTTGTTTAGGTTGAGCAGCAATTAGTGGTTTCCTAAGCAGTTTGTGATTTTATACAATATTGAATCCAATATATTTTCACATTCTGAGGCATCTGAACAAGGTTTTAAAACTGAAATATCGTCGGCAAAGAGCACACATGTATCATCGTTGAGAACATTTGGCAAGTTGTTAACATATATAAGAAAGAGAATACATCCTAGGACGCTACCCTGTGGTATGGATCCAGACACATGGATACTGTCAGACCTAACCAACCTAGGCTTTTCAACGTCGATATGTGCAAGTCGCAAAGCATCAGTCAAACATTATATCTAACTTCGTGTAAGCTATAAGCTGGTAAGTAAAGACCTCTCATTGGCACCGCAGGACCATACTCATTGAAATGTTGGTTTTCAAAGTTAGAGTATGAACTGTTTCGTGGTTGTTAACTAGAAATGACAATTACTTTATTAATTTTCGTGTGTATTTAAGCAAAATCGCAAGCAAATGTGTGTGTGTATGTTGAAGCTCTTCTATTTGATACCCTACGCGGAATGATTGAATACCTAATATATATTTTTAGTTTTTGACACTATTCTCTCTAGAGGGCGCTATTGCCAATGTAATGTGACGTCACATAGCCTATAGCACGAGGACAACTAAGACGAAATGATACTTCATTTGTCGAGTTAAGATGAGCACTTTCGAAGTGAAAAGGGAACAGATGAACATTCTTACATACATTATACCATCCAAAATCATAACCCTCCTTTTCGCTTCGCCGTAGTCGGGTAAAAATATAAGACACTTGTTGACTCTGAAGGTATACTATAACAAAAGCACATAACTGGGATACTATTATAAATCCTTGGAATTATCCAATTACAATTACTGAAGAGGATCGTATTATACACGCAGTGTCATTATCGCATTTAAAAGTTCATAGGTAAGTCAAAAAATATATACTAAAGGTATATTGTTAGATAACAATAGAATTATCTATAAAAATCGGACTAAAATAATAGTTACGCGTTCGCTAAAAAACGCCTTTTGTTCGTAGGAGAAAAACTTTATCAAATTACGCAAAAGTCCTTTTTTTTAATGAATCATAGCTGGATCGTTTTATCGCCCCCAAAATCCCCTGCACTATACACTACACACAGCGAGATCCGTATGTACACATATTCATACATTATACGAGTACAATAATTGCTCTTTTTAAAGTATTAGATGATAGTGCGATATAGATATAAGTCTATTTTCGTACGTGCTGCTAAGTCATCATGATAATTATAATTCAACTTCCTTTTATTAAAAATTAACACCAGTCATGATGATAATTTGAATTCGTCTGCGACGACGTGATCGATAGTGATAACAAAACTTAATAGGTTGTTACCTATTTGATAACTTGATGTTTACGAACAAGGAAATTAGCAATTTTTATCCGACTCAAAAATCGAAAAGGAGGAGGTTATATGTTCGACGGCGATGTATATTTTTAGGGTACCGTCCCCAAAGGGTAAAACGGGAACCCTATTACTAAGATTTCGCTGTCTGTTACCAGGCTGCATCTGACGAACCATGAAAGTTAGACAGGTGAAATTTTCCCAGATGATGCATTACTGTTGCCGCTTCAACAACAAATAATGAAAACCAGAATAGAATAAATTTTTATTCCCGTACCGCATTCCATACCACAAAAGTAATTTCATCATCATCATCGTCAGCCCTTTTACGACCCCACTGCAAGGGCTCAGGCCTTCCTTATGGATGGTTAAGGACGATGGGCCATGACCCTCCACGCTGGCCCAATGCGGATTGGAGAGAATTAACGACTGCAAATGCAGCCGGGACCAACGGCTTAACGTGCCTTCCGAAGCACGAAGTAGCTAGAGTTAAATAATTTTTTGGTCACCCATCCCGTGACAGACCCTTGCGAAAGTTGCTTAACGATAACGATCGGGCCGCGGCGCTTATCCACTCCACTGACAAAATGTTTACATGGCTCTGTTGGTTATGAATTGTAATCTTTTAAATTGTAAGTGGCGTAGTGGCCACCGAGCTACTCAACGTGATTTAAATAAGTAAAAATAAAAATATTTCAAACAATCTTTATAATGCAATAATAGGTACTTAGATAATACGAGTATAAAAGTCAATCATTTCAAAATCTATGTCTAAATAAATATACATAGACGATTTCCTACAGGTTTTCCAATTAGGTATCTACACAAAAACTGTTAATTTCAAATAAAATTAAAATCAGGTAAGCAGGTCAAAATAAGGATTCCTTAAAAGACAACTTCATGTGTTCATTTAAAGCGTTCGCGCAATGAACATTTGAGCTTTCTTTTGAAATAGTTCCTGTTTAATTTCGTTGAAATCGCTAGTAGTTTATTTGAATATGATTAGTTTAATATATTCGCCTTGGTTTTGTACTTTAGTCAAACGACATCTAAGTAAAGCTAATTTATCCTTAATCCTTAAGTCGTATGTATGAATGACACTCTTTTTAACATCAATAAGGATCCTTCTGACGTTTATACTATCCCTCCAAATGGTAATACTGCAATAATACTCATGGAGTGCACGATAGGGTTTTGTCATCGCCAATTTATTTTAATTATAAGAGTGCACAGTTTGCACTTGCAAATTTTTTACAAAGATCATATAACAACATATATAAGTGATCGATTTTTATTGTTTTGTAATAAAGTATAATAAAAGCGGCGTTGACGGTTCATTAAGATTTAGTTTAGTAAGCAAGTTCAACAGGTTTTTTAAAGAAGTCTCTTTGTATTACTTGGTCTGAGGGTGTGTTTTCGTCTAAGGTTAAACTATTATTCAAAAAGCTGCCAGAGTTTACAGGCCGAAAATTATAATCCTTGGTTATTTTTCTGTGTGCTTCAATATCATACTCTTTACTCACTTTCCTGGATAAATTTGGTTTTAAAAATATAGTTTTTTTAATGACTTTTTTTCGAGAGCCTTACTTGAATAATCTTTTGTGTGACTAGTGCTGATGTCAACTGAGATGGCTTAGCAGTTGCGACATTGAATAGAGCTTAGTGATGTTTAGGAAGTGGCAACAGTTGTAACACTGTATAGTTGGGAATATGTAAATTTCAACTAATAAAGAGTCTTTGGTTCTTTCATACAGGAGAACCATTTTCCATAATTTTAAAGTTGATGAGTCTAATTTTAATAATTTTACAGAAATATTACTTTTTACTTCCTCTCACGAATGATGTTAAGTTTTTGCTAATGAGAAAAGAATTTGCAGATAAGTAATTGGAGAAAGATAAAGAAACTTTGTTTCAAATAGGCAGAAACAAAGTCTCTTTATCTTTAACAAAGTATTTGACACTTCCGTTATTTATATCTTTAAAACAATGGCGTTGTAGAAATTTCCCAAAAGTAACTGGATGAAAAGTAGTATTTGTGCAAGTTGTATTTTTTGAATGTGTACTATAATAGGTAAGAGCAGGTGAAGGTTGTGAGGAATCAGTAGAAGTCGATAGTGCTTGAGATTTATTTTCATTATGTAATTGTATTTCTTTTCGTGGAGACAAAGGTTCAAAACAATCGCAACTATTTTCGCTGTCAGCTTCGGAACCGCGTGTATTACGTTTTTTTTTTTGTTACATTGTTTACATGGACAAGACCACAGAAATATCTGGGGAAACTATACCCCTTCCGGTACCGGGTCAGGAAGCTCTTTCATTATAAAAGTTAGAGAATTATCGAGACTTTCCTAGTCAGCAGCAAATAATATATATAAATATATTATATATATACACTATACACTAATTACACTAATATATTATATGTACATATATATCATATATATATATATATATATATATATATACACATAAATCACTAAAGTAAATAAATGTAGATACTCCATTGATCTTTATAAACAATAAAATAAAAATTTTCGTTCAAAAACGCGTCCACTCAATCAAACGCCTCCCGCCTTTTTCCATTTCTTAACTGATATTAATATATCAATGTTAATTGTTTAATTTATTAATTAGTAATGGTGTAATATGACTGTTAAATACATTAATTAATATTATGTTTACAATTAAAACTATTTAAATAAAAACTAAGTATTTTATCTACAATACTTGTGCGTTATATATTTAGTATAAAATTTGATTATTCATCATGAGCAAAGATCGTGACACGAAACTTATTATTATTATATTTCTACACTAATTTTAAGATTTGTTTTTGTTTGATTATAGCTATAAACCGACCGATTTTAAATATTCTTTCATTAATATTAAAATGAAATAATGTAAAGAATATAGATTATTATTTATTAGTAACTAATTACTGTAATATTATAATAATTATTATCTGTGCTCATAACATAATGTGTAAGTAGTCTATGGAGGACTCCATCTTGTTGTTGATTATAGAGAGCCAATGTATATGTACTGCGTGTGGATTGTATTTGAACATATAATAAATATCATTGATTGTCAAGTGTTTATTTTATATAAATAACGTATAACATTATACTTACTATCCCGCGATTTCGCCAGTAGGAAAAAGAATTACTAAAATCGATGAGCCCATATACAAATAAACAATGAATTCTTTCCTCTCTATAATATAATTATAGATAAGACGTCATGAAGTTCGCCGAGTCAGCTAGTATGTGTTTATGATGTCGTAATCCAGAACTAAGAAAAATAAATGATGACCATTTAGTTGCGCCTATGTCGGTTCGTGGGTCGCACCGTTTTGACTTCTAACGGTTGTTCCATCATTTGAATGAAGGTTGTTGCTCTGACGAGTGTTTTGTAATATTATTTCCATCGCGTTACCTAATTTTAGTCACAGTTAGTTGCATTAGAACCGTCGTTTCATTCATGATCCGAGTTTGCGTAGTCTCGATAAATATAGTGCTGTAAAAACAAGGTATTTAAGTGATATAATTTAGTTATTTTATTCTTACATACATAGGCACCGCCGCGCCGTCATATTTTTTAAAAAGTATTTATTTCTTTATTATTGCAATTTTATTGTGTCAGTATATAAACTTTTTGGTGATACCTCTCATTTACTACTGTTAACATGAAATACATTTAGAATTCTTATAAAGCTAAATCATCGTTTAAAATAAAATAGTGGTGGTGAGAATTGTGAATGTGTAAGTGAGCATTTAAATTTGAAGCTTTTTATTATTGTCTGAGGTCTGAAGAAAAACATGCAAATATGTAATTAATAGTGTAAATAACACTTTTTACCATACAAACATTTTCTTAAATATTAGCTATTAAAAAAAAAGTGCTTTAATAGAATAAGAATGTTACTGATAGTGCTTTGTGAAAAAATAGTATGAAATAGTTTTAACAAATAAAATAAAAAAAATAAAATTATTTACCATTGGCCAGGTCAAAACAAAACAAAATATGCCTTTCCTCAGATATCACGATATCACCACGATATCATGCTAGTGTCATGTTTCTATCAGCGTAAAAACAAAAGATTTCTATGTGCAAAACGAGTATTAACAATAATATCCTTTTTGTACATAGTTATATACATTATTTATATCTTTACTAGCTGACCCGGCGAACTTCGTACCGCCTAACAGTCAATGAATGTCGTGTTACCTTTTAGCTGAACTAATTTAGGCTTTGATGAACGTAATACAATGATACAAAATGTATAAAAGTATTTTATTACGATGAATGATGATGAATACATACAGAATGAGAATAAAAATTAAAAAAATAATAATAATTAAGTTTTTCAAACACATGTCTGACCATGAGAAAAACGCGCATTTTCTAGATTGAGGCCACAAATAGTCAAGGATTGGCCCTGTGATTTGTTGATCGTCATGGCGAAAGCAAGACGAATCGCGAATTGAATTCGTTTAAACTCAAAGGGATCATCGGAATCCTTGGAATAAGAACTTCCTCTTTAAATTTTCCTTTAAGTATCGACGCGTGAATCACATTGCTCATCAGTTTTCTTATCACCAAACGCGTTCCATTGCACAGTTTTGGTTGGTTTAAATTTATAAGCATGATGACTACCGAGCCAACCTTCAGTTGTAAATTGTGCGGTGGTAAACCAGGCACATCCAAGGAGTTCAAAAATTTATTGAAATGATTGAGTATTCATTACACATTTCTGAACGCACGCGTAATATTTTTCAATCTTTTTAAAAAAAACAATACACATAATAGTTTATTCATCTATTTTAAATAGTTTATGAACGCATGCATAAATGTCAATCATTACTTACAGATTTTGACAAAAAAATTTGACAGCTCCGAAACTACACAACTTTTAGGGAAAATAACGCATTTTTCAAGTATTCGTCAATTTTTCATTATTTTTAAGATGTATTCTGCTATTCGGGGAGGAGACAAATCCAACAAATCAAAAACCATGAAAATTGGTCCAGCAGATTTCGAGTTATAAGTGTTGTAACAAACCCGACTTTCTTTTATATATATATAGATGTAAATATACTCTTTTTAGATTTTGTATTAAGTTTGGAACGCAGATAAAAAATATATGGTTTTGAAGTTGTAAAGTCAGTAAAGTTGTCTTACCTAAATACTTTGGTTGTCTTGCACCCGATCCTCGTATTACAAACTTGTCCTCAGGTTTCTCTATTTCTATTGAACGATTGATTATATATATTATATTATTTTTATGCAAGTAGATATGTTTACCGATTTCTTCGTGGTAGCTATGTGCAAATAATTAAAAGTTGTAAATATAATTTCTTTTATAGATATTCAATATTTTAATGATACCTATACAAAATATTTGTGTAAAGTACCTATACTTAAGTATATATACTTATCACTAAAAATTATGAAATTAAAATGTTTTACGAAAAAAGTACCTAAGAGACTTCAAATTAAAAAAAAAAAAATAACACTTATTTTAAAAGCAAGAAACATTAAAGTCGGGCGGTTATTATTTGATAAACTACAGAAAATCTCATTATTTCAAAATTAGTATTATTTATCACTTTTTTTAATTAAAAGCCTGTTCTACTATTTGAATTTTTTTTTTTTATATTATAGGGCAGATAACTCTTTTGACCATTTGGAACTTTAAGGCGTTATAACCTACAGAGTCCAAATAGTCCGTACCGTACTCGATATTTAAATTGTTGAATTAGTGCAAAATATACACCTTTAGCAGCTACGATGTATGAAAGTTCACTTCTCAACTTTTAAAATGGCTAAATTCGGTAATCTATCCTAATAAACTAACTAACATCTTTGAAAATATTCGGCGATAGATTGAATGTACGAGTATAATAATTTTTAAAATCAGTCTAGTAGTTTTGTGCCTATTCAATGAAAACAAAGAAATCCTATTTATATATCATATTAAAAATGATGTGTATATATTATATTATAAATGAAATGCATTAAAAAGTATTAACTTTGTTCTTACAAACAACACATGAGTAAAGTTTAAGAGCCTGACGAAAGCGAGCACATTCTGAGTGTTAAGTGTAATTTAATATTAATATTTTAGTAAACCTGACTTTATCTCCAAAGATAAATTAAATTCAAATAATAATTTGTCAGTTTTGCCCTTTCATTTTATTTATTATCACTACCATCGAATCACTTTTGTTTAAAATAATTGAAATTAAATCAAGACATGTTTATACTCGTATTTAGATTGGTAATCTACCAGTTTTATGTATAAGGAAATCGTAAAAAAAAAGGTATTCGGTCGATACAAGGTTGTATAGATACCTACTTAAACGCGTTAATGTGCTAACAATTAGAATTCATCTCCCATCGACAATAAGTAATATTAGGTAGTGTTTGACTAATACGACAGTGTGTACTTATAACTAAACGAATTTTCAATATTAGGAGTTCTTTTAAATGATTGAACATATAGGGACAACCATTACTTTCAAATGACAAAATTTAATGAGATCTTTACAAAATGAAAAAGGCGGTATCGAGTTTTCAGAATTTATGTTTATATATGTAGTTATTGTTACACAATTAGGTCAAAATGGCTGAAAGGATTTCGATGAAATTTGGGGCATAGATATATTGTAATCTAGAAGACTTAAGCAATTTTTTATCCAGGTTTTCGTGGTTAATGCGGACGCGAAGACTGAGAGTATATATTTTTTTATGTTCTATATTTTTATCCCCTGACGCAAAAAGAAGGGTGTTATATGTTTAACGTGTCTGTGTCTGTATTTCTGTCTGTGGCACCATAGCTCCTGTCGTAATGATTGAATTTGATTGCATTTTATTTATTCAAAAGCTTTGTTTATCGCGGTGGTTCTTAGTTATGTTAAAGTAGAAACTATTTTCAATGATTTAAACATATAGTATAACAAGCTAGCTTGTAAACGAATAGGCCGGTTTGATTGAAGATTTTTTATCGATAGCCTCTTTTATCATGATCATTATGAGATTTTTTTTTGTATTCTTAAATACTATTAATATAATAATAATAAATAATCTTTAAAATTAAATAAGCTTAAAACAAAACAGTCCCTCGTCTGAATTTTTTTTTAAAGATTATTTTTATACTTTTACCCAACTGTTATGGAAGGGTTATTAGAGATTTATAGATACATATATATTTTAAAAACCCTATATTTCGCCGAAGAAATGTTGACAAAATCCTAGTGCAGATTGCATGATTAAAAAGTTTTTATATGACTTAGAATCGTTGCATCGAAATGAAATCAAACAAATTTTATTATAAACTATTTAATAATATAAGTATAACCAAGATAATTATCAAAGCAAATGTAAAAACAATCTGAGTTGATAAAAAATATTATTATGGACTGTAATAACGTAAGGTCAATACAGATTCGATTTTACGGTGTGCTTAGGCTTGATTACATAATTACGTTCAACATTATATGTCCAACGAGGTAAACCTGTTTTTTATTTATTCTATTTTTAGAGGCTCGGCACGAGAGATATAACATATAATAATAATTTATTTGCTTTTATATGATGAAGGAATTGAATTCAATACTCCCGTTAGTGAGATAAATAGGGAAAGAATGGTAATTTGCAACGTAAAAACTATTTCTTAAATTAGTCGCTAATAATTATAATTGTTGTAAAATAAATGAACTAACATAAAAGTAAATAAAGAAAAAAATATTTAAAGCGACATATTATATTTACAAACACACACCCAGTTTCTGGATCAGCCAAGTATCCGGTGTCGTACTTGATGGCAGAACATTTCATCCCAGATAAAACCCCAGCTCGACTATCCCTGATAGACAAATGAAAACTTATCTCTCTATGATTAGTTTTTACACATGCTTCCGCTAATAGTCTATAAATCTATTTCTTATTTATTTATCAAGATAAATATATCTAGTCCGCGCTGCGACCTTTTCGTCAGTCGGCCGACGGTATCATTTATATCAGTATCGACCAACCATTCTCACTAGCCAAGAAAGTCCAGTAAGTCAGTCTACTTGTAAATATTAATAAAACTCAAGCCAGTCCAATGAAAGCTTACTGGATTGTTTTAATGACACCGCATTTTAAATTTACTGTACATTCTTACCAGTTTGTATGGTAGAAAATGCCTTTTTGGAACGAGTTCAAAATATTGAAAAAAAATATTTCCGTGACACATGGCACGAAGTTAATATAACCAGGCTATTACTAAACTAGTTTTTGGTACTGGGATATTGAACGGTGTGAATTCTATTTACAGAGAATGTCTTGGTTACCGTGGTTGATGTGTGGCGTGATGGTAGTGGCGTGCGCGAATACGGAACAGTCCAAGCTCAAAGTGCTGGTGTTATTCCCATTTCCAAGCAAGAGTCACAGCATACTCGGCGATGGAGTCGTCAGGCATCTTATCAAAGCCGGACACGAGGTGACTGGATTATACTGTCGTTATTGATTCAAAACTTATTTTTTTCGAGATAGGCATAAAATTGAGCCGTCGTTTTCAATTTTGATGCGTTCATGCGATGCAATTTTGGACTCGCTATTGGATGGGTTCACGTAGGAGAGTTCTATATAGCATTTTCGCTTGGCATATATCCATAAACTGAGCCAAGATTGAGGAAAGAGTGATTTCTTTTTTAGTTTTGGTTCCACATTTTAAAGGCCTAATTTTCTAAACATTTTGCTATTGTTTGTTAATATCTTACAGGGAAATCAAACGGCTAGAGTATGACTAGATCTGTCTGACTATTCAATTGAGTTGTATTGATTATATTTATTGCAATAAATAATTTTGACCTTGGTTTTATTATTATATAGGCTGATATCTCTTTTTTCTCTCGCAAAGGTTTTTGTTGATTGATATATTTGCTTCGTACCCTAGCGATGATGTCATATGGAATTCTCCTACGTGGACCTAATTTACAGTGACTCCTACTTCTATACTTAGTAGTGAAGGTCGACATCTAATTTGTGAACTTTTAGGTCACCTACATTACTCCTTACGTTAAGAAGGGTTTAACGCCAAAACTTCGCCAAATAGACGTCAGTGATAATTTCAAAGCTATAGATAGTAAGTATATTTATTCATAACATCTAATTTTCTTTAGTATGGTAAACCTACAAACACACCAGTCTTCCACGAGTGACCTAACTTTCTGAAATCTACTAATATGTAATTTATTGAGTTATATTGTGTCATATGTGGTGAAAAATAAATTATTTTACTATTATTATATATTAATTGATTTTGATTTACATATATCTTCACGGGATATAGTTAGTGGACCTATGTAACATGCGTTGTAACACAAAGGATCAAACATTAAACCTTTCTTTTATGTAATTTAATTTATCGCAAATTGCGGTGACCGCAAAAGTTTTAGCACGTTTTTCTTTATCATTCGGGCTTGGAGGCCATAAAACTAGATATTTAACTATACCATAAGAAAAGTCTTTACCATTCCCAATGGCCATAAAGACCCAACTTCAAATGTTAGTTATTTTTACAACGTTAAAAATTATTATACTTTATTTCTTAGTGTAGTTTATTTTTTATTTTTAACCGACTTCAAAAAAGGAGGAGTTTCTTAAATCAACTGTATTTTTTTCTGTTTGTTACCTCATAACTTTTCACTGGGTGGATTTTAAAAGTATTTTCCTAAATAAGTCGCTTTTGAGATAAGTATTATTTTACACTTTTTTAAGTTTGAAGTCGGTTCTATTTTTTTATAATAATAACTTATATTTATATAAATATTAAATTTACAGTGGAGCAATTGAACTTGAAGACGATAATAATGAATAAAGGGGTTTCGTTTTCAATCTTCGATTTTTTTGAAACAACTCTCAACATCTTCAACATGACATTCCACAACGATAATGTGCAGAAATTGTTGAGAGACCCCAAGGAAAAATTTGACGTCATCATCGCTGAGTGGATGTTCAATGAGTTGTACGCTACGTGAGTAATTTATTTGACCGTCACATCGGATTTTTTCGGACTTTCGTATATTTGTATTTGTAAGAGAAGCTGTGGATCCAGCACCTTTACCACGCTGACGCACTTTCGGAATCAGAACTTAAGCTCTTACTAGTTAAATAAAATAAATACAAAATTGGATTGTAAATATACGTGAAAATTTTTATTGACAACCAAAAAGCAGATAGCGAAAGTCACACGTCACCGTCACATTTTAAAGTTTCGAATGTACGATGGCCAGCAATTAAATTGGATAGAACCTCCGATAGTATTTAACCATAGTTTTGTTTATTTATTAATTATTGCTTGTGAATTAAATATGAAAAACAAAAAAAGAACTGCAGTGTTGTTTTAAATAACCCAAAACAAAAATCATAACTTCGTCTTTAACACAAAAAAAATACTAACTGCGCCCGAAACTTTTGGAATTATTTAGCTGTCTTTCTAGTTCATAGTAAAAAATTCATTACTAAAGTTTCAAAATCAATTAAGATGCCGTTGTATACTGAATAGTTTTGGCCTTCGCGAAAATCTTGGCTAAATTTCAACATCAACATAAATTCACACAAAAAATAATATGCAACGAAATAACATATATGTGTTTGTTTATGTGATTGTAATATGTTATAATAATGCTCAGATTTTCGGCTGTCTTTGGCGCACCATACATATGGGTATCAACCGTTCAGCCACACTGGATGGTGCTGAGGTTAATAGACGAGGCGAGCAACCCAGCATACACAGCGGATTCTCATTCCCCGAGTGTACCACCATTCTCTTTTTACGAAAGGGTTCAACAACTATTTTTCCAAATTGTAGGAATTACTGTGCAGAAATTGTGAGTATAGAATTAATTCAAAGTTACATCCTTAGATAGAAAGAAAGAAAGAAAACAGATACAATATTAATTTAAAATATAAATTTATTTTTTTGTACCTTACAATGTATTTATATTTACTTATTTTAGTAAAGTGGTCAAAATGTGTACATTTATTAAAAAGTGGTGGCCAATTAGGATTCTGCTTCAGTATAAGCCATACCAGTGTAGATTATCCTGTTATGGCGCTGATTATTCTGGCAGAGCTTGTATAGGTGGTTGACGTTATAAATAGTTATATACATATAAAGGTATATACTAAATGTATAGACAAAATTGTTTTCTATATAAAAAGATCATTATTTTATTCACTAAACGATTATTACGTTTTCCCTTAAAGTCCGGCTGACGCCAAGTCTTTTTCATAGAGAATTTCTATAAATAGAAGAATCACAGGACAACTGGTCATTAATCATTACGAAGACACCCACCAATCCGGTGTTAACCATGTGAATGCCTACAATTCAACCGTTCAACGTAACGTCATTAGGAGGTAGAGGATTTATAGTCACTATTCCATGTTTGGTCTTTATTAAAGTTCACAAGCAGAACTATGACTGAATACCTGGAGAATTAGATCCTTTATCCGTAGTCGTCCATTCTCGAAATTCGGCAATAAAATTATAACTTTAATCCTTTATTATTGTTTAACACTCAGTAAACCAAGGTTCTTTTTTTTGTCATTATGATAAAAAAAAACATATTCTGTATTTCTTCTCCATATAAGCTTTAATTGTGCTAAATTTCGTATACTGCCGTCTGCTGCATTTTCGTAAGAAGAGATACAAAATTTTAAATTTTACCTCTTAAAATTTTGTTCCTCTTTTACCTACTGTATTAATATATGTAATATTCTGGTACCTACCACATTTTGTAAATAAATATTATTTACATATGTTCTTCTAGCTTTTTTGACCCTAAGATTGAAGCTGTTTACGATGACCTTGCGCCAATTATAAAACAAAGAGGCAGTGAAGTGCCCAAATTCGATGAATTGAAGTACAACGCTTCCTTGATGTTGGGCAATTCGCATGTCTCCATGGGGTCTTCGCCAGCGCTGCCACAAAGCTACAAGGTTGTGGGGGGATATCACATTGATACTAACGTCAAACCACTGCCAGCGGTAATATTAAACTTCTATTTAAAAAAAAAGTATCCACTAACATACTTCAATACACTTAAACATTTGCAAGACACACTTTTTTAATGTAAATAGATATAGGGCGCTCTATATAAATTGTCGTATATAGGACTTGCAGAAAATTATGGACGATGCAAAAGATGGAGTCATATACTTCAGTATGGGATCGAATCTAAGAAGCAAGGATTTACCGTCAGAAGTAACACAAAGCCTGCTGAAAGTATTCAGCAGTCTAAAACAAACTGTGATGTGGAAGTTTGAAGAAGTTCTGCCAGGATTGCCTGAGAACGTACATATTCTTAAGTGGGCATCCCAGCATAGCATACTTGGTGAGATTTAAGTATATTTTTTAACAAAATAAAAATACTGTAAATATAATACTTTCCCAGTTAGAAAGTTGGTATAATGCTTTTCATTTGTTATACATGGCTATACTATAGTTTCAAATATACTATTATGGAAAAATGCTAACTATAGTCTCAATTTGCATAAAATTTGAAGAAGACAGTATAACAAACTTTATTTACCAATTAAATTAAAATTACAGCACATCCAAACTGCAAGCTCTTCATCACACATGGTGGTCTTTTGTCCTCCACTGAGACAATATATTTTGCAAAACCTATAATTGGGATTCCCGTATTCGCCGATCAATTCGTGAATGTAGACCGAGCTGTCAAAGTTGGCATAGCTAAGAGAGTCGATCTGTCATTCACTATGGCCGATGAACTCAAAGCGGCTATAGAAGAAATGTTGAATAATCCCAGGTAAACAATATATTAAATAATTAGGTTTCATGTATAGCCTGACCAGAAAAATAATAAACCCTAGCAATTCACATATACAATGTGAATTGCTAGCTAGCCAATTATTATTTTATGTAATTTATTTTTAATTTTATGTTGATTACATCTACATAATTTATTAAACACAATGCAACCTGGGCCACAAATCTAATATTTTTACCTAGTTTCCATAACATGGCCAGGCTTTTTTATTTTTCTGGTCGGGCTTAACGTTACAAATGCAAACTTGGTAAAGTAATGGTGAGTTCTTTAAATATCCAAAGCTTTTATATTTTATTTCAGTTACACTCGTAAAGTTGAGGAGTTGTCATTCGTGTACCACCACCGTCCCGTGTCGCCGGGGGCGGAGCTGGTGCACTGGGTGGAGCATGTGGCCAGGACCCGAGGCGCGCCTCATCTGCGCTCGCCGGCGTTACATGTGCCGCTCTACCAGAAGATGTATCTAGATCTAGCTGCTGTTGTATTCATTATACTTATTGCTATAACCAAACTCATCAAAAGGCTGTTCAGAAAAAAGAATACAGAGAAGAAGAAGAAAAAGACGAATTAATTAAGAACTTCGTTCAGTAATTTATTTAAAAGGATAAAAATTAGAATAATACAGTAGGGGAATAGGCATAATACGGGTAAAAACAATAATGGATTTTTCTAAATATCGATAATAGATTACGCTTCGACACTTGCTGCCACGATTCAGTGTGCGCTCAGCGACGCCATGGCCAATTTAACCAAAACTATACAGGCGCTCGTTTGTTACATAGTGCAAAAAAGAATTTCTATAATTTTCTTACGTTTTTCAGGAAGATTTGTGCATTTTTTATTTTAATATGTATTATATAGTGTATAATTTTGTTGTTTTTTTATCCAATGGCATATTTATTTAAGTATAATATATAAAATTCTATCGTAACGTACAGATTACATTTGAATTTTGTTCATCCATCTAATATTGCTGATGTGGACAAAATGCCACAAGCAACGTTGGGCAAGACGGACAATGAAAAATTAATCAACAAATAGACTAGAATATTTGAATCAGCCAGTTCTAGCAAAAGTACATAAGCGGAGAAAGATGTATATCAAAACTAAAAACAAAAATTCTAAATCTGTATTTTTGTTTGTTTGGCGTCTGTTGATAAATACCAGTGTGTTTATACCCTAAAATACACTAAAATTTCGCATTAAAATTGTACATACATCGAATTTAGGTGTAGGTAACAAGCTACTTTTACTAGTACCAAGACTGATTATGTTATTTTTGAGTTATCCTGGGGCCAGCAGCAGCATATCCGTCTTGCCCGTGATTTTAATGAAAAGAAATGGTTTAAGTTTTTATTTTTGTATAGCTGTTCCCAAAGTTGATTGAAAACAAAATGCAAATTTAAATCATATAGATTTATGTTGATAACATACATCTATTTTATTTTATAACATTTCTTTAACATATGCGTTTTACCAGGCCTCCCCTGAGTACAAAACTAGAAGAAGGTCATAGATAGTTAGCCGCACATGTAATAGTCTATGCATCTCAATGTTTGGACTTGTTCGACAAGAAGACTAAATATCGTTTTGTGCTACAACTAACTAGATAAAGCAACTTTTGTGTCGCATCATTATAAAACTATTTTTTAGTAATATCATGATAGTCATTTATTGGGTTATGTCGTGTGTACCTAACGTTTTGTGATATTTGTACTATTATACTCTTATTACATTTATCAATAGTCGATAACTCCTCATAGGTAACAATATAAAAGTTTTTTATTAATACTCACAGCATATTATTTCTGGAATTCATAGATTTACTATTTTAATGATTTTAACGCCTACGCTGGAAGCCACCAGAGGTGCGACCACTTAGCACTCTCGTTATAACTACGTCTGGTTGTTCTGCGTTAATTATATCAAGTTTGGCTTAAACAAAAGTTAAATTAAGACAACGAAAGCTATTTCGATGAAAATATTAAAACCGATTTCAAATTAAAAACGTTAAAAGTATGTACCTAGCTAGGCGATTAGTGGGTAGGTACCTAACCTATCTACATTCATTTTTTGAGGTTTGCAGGTAATAACGACGTATTATTGAGTTAATTTTCAATTTTTTTTAGCTTTTTAATGTTTTAATTTGTAGTAGGTTTTATTTATTTTTTCACTTAGATATCTAAACTGAAAAGAGTTTAGATATCTAAGTGAGTAAGTACACTTTTAAAACAACAAAATGGGAAGGCTTACTAAATGTGCCGCTCTAATGAAAAGAAAATGATTAAATTAAACTGATTGATTTAATGAAAAAAAAAGAGTATTTTATTCTATACGACAACATGAGACCTGAGGTCTAATTTTAAATCTATCACAATACTCTTTAATTCGACATTTGAAAAATATTGACGAACTTCATGCTAGAACTATTTCACATATGTTAGCGATGACGACGTTAATTTTAATTGTTAAGCGTTTTTCTTGAAACTTAATAGTTTTTCTTGATCATTCAAATCAAAATTCGTTCCAAAAGCGATTGCTTTTAAAAATTACATACCTAATTGCTTAATCGCTATCTAAGTTGCTATACCTTTAAAATAAGATAATTAATGCTATAATTTAGTCATGAAAAATGCCGCCATATTGATTGAGATTGAAACTTAGTCAAGAGTTACATAAAACAAATCAAGGTCACTCCAAAAATCGATAGTAATAGAACCTAATAGACTATATTTACCTACTTGGGTACCAAAAATTTGTGATAAGAGTGTCTGGTGATAATTGCCAGTCATTTCCGGTAGGTAATAGGGATGACGCCTAATTTTTGTTTGTTCGTCAAGTATATTAATAAAGAATATTTAATACGTATTTTTTTTCCTTAATCTATAAATTACGTCTATACATTGAATTGAAACGTCGCATGACGTCACGCTTTTGTACATTTTCTACAAAACTATGACGTAAAGAGCCCCCACTAATCAACTTTAATGCCTAATTTTATAATCTAACCCATTTCATGTTTAAATTGAAGCAAAAAAAAAGTATCTAATATTTTTCTGTTATTTGCCTGACGGATTTTTTTTTTTAACGCATTCGTCATCCCTATTATTATGCGTGACTCACGAACAAGTCTACGAGATTAGTGGTGTGTAAACTATTTTGAGAATAGTGTGTACCTATAATAAATGGTATTTTATTTATCGCAGCACCGTTCTGAGATAAAAGTGTAAGTGGATTGTTACATTTATATATCATATTACTGATCGAATGACTAGTAAATTGTAACGCTTTTCACTATTTCTGAATCAATGGCCATTTTGCTTGTAAATAATCAGCAAAAAAGTTATACGATGTCTGTGAATTAATTAATAACTAACAAACGAGGTTTATTTTAAAGAAAAAATTCTAACCCATTGAGCTAACCGGTTTGAATTGTCACAGAGCGGACTGGCGAAGCATATTTTACTATCGCTACTAGTTAGAATGTTTTAATCATGTAGATCTTCATCAATGTTCAGTTCAGGGATTCACCTAAACAGCCAAAAGACAATAAGACTGGTGAATTTTTAAGCACTTAAGTACTTCCTCTTCCCTTCGTGCACGAGTTCGCACTTGCCGGTTTTTAAAATGATATCAATATTTCAAAATTGATCAAATAATAATGAGATGAGGGTCCTACATAGTTAACCTAGACTTTGCCTGTGAATCTCACCCGTAGAGTAATAATGTTCTGTGATCTAACCGTCGTTTTATCACGACAATTTTCGAGCGTGTTTTGTTTGCGTAAATCAATTTACATCACCAAATAATTTCACCTTTGAAATCGAATTAGTTTCACGAGAATAATAACCAGTGCACGCGTAGTCAAAAGTTACGCTGACGTTTACATAGTTTAACCCAATGATATATAAAAAAGTTTTAGCCGATTTACCCAATACCTAAGGAATGTATAAGCGTTGTGTAATTATCAGAGGTCGGAATTAGGTAGAGTTATTTATGTACTTGCATCGAAATGTTGATATTAATGTGGACCTTCCCTATAAATGTGGCAACATCGCGCGTATTGGTATTTTGCAACTTTGGACATCCGATGTCATTGATGTAAGTCTGGCAACGTCGTGCGTGCAGTAGTTTAAATTGTGTAAAAGTAAATAACTTTTTATTTGAGGTTTTGAGGATTTGAGGCATATCCACTTTATTATTTCGCTGTATGAAATCAGTGTAAGTACATGAATAACTCTACCTAATTCCGACACTGGTAATTATACAGTGTTATGTCTTTTTCACTCTAAATGAAAGTCAATTAAGAATGACTTGAGTGGAGCTATGTATAACTAATCCGTAAGTTTCCTATATAGTATTAACGGTATAAGTGTTTTTCTTTCAAAGATTCTATAGTAACTGGCGTGGATTGTTGATAATGATAAGTAAGTGATAGCGTAGGTACACAAAGTAGGTTATATATTTCTATCTTTAATTATTTTAACAAGTAAAAACAACACTAATTAGCGTATTGATGAAGTCTACTCTTAAAAAATAATAATAATAAGGTAAAGAAATAATTAGAGTATGAATACGAAAAATAAAATGTATCTTGGAATTTTAAATACGTTTTAATACGGTTTTGTTCTTGAGTAATAAATAAATATTTATTATTAAAAAAATTTAGATAAAAAATTAAGTAGCTTAAGTCCGGTTAGGGAAATCTGAAATAACCAAGGTAATCAATAACAACAACACAAACGTTCAGATGCACAAACGTCCTTTAAGGTTTAATGACACCTTTAAGCACTAATGAATGTCAAATTTGTATGGGTAATGTCGCTTCAAACTTATGACAACTTTAATAGTTTGTGCAACTGGCTGTCAGACCAGAGACAATTTTCTACATTGACCCGATCGGATATCGAATTCAGGATCTCAGATATCTATATATATGCATGTGTAATATGTTGTTTCAATCTTTCGTGGTCATTAACTTTAGAATGATTGTTTCCTACGGGATTAATAAAATGTCCCTTGCATTTTATATTCCCTGATATTTCGGCGCTAGGTAACTAACGAACGTGTTTTCGGGTAAGTTTATTGGCAGATATATCGATCGCGTAATTTGTTTTTATATATTAAGCATTCTTAATTAAGAATATTTTATAAAAAACTAAGTGGATTTTTAAAGCAAATTTCAATAGGAATATAATGATATAATTTAAAAATATGTAACTACTCTTTTTTCATTTTCTGAAACAACCTGGTAATTTGTGTACCTAACTAAAATGACATAAATAAAATTATTTTTAAAAAGAATAAAAATCTCGCCTGCGTGAAAAACAACTAACTGAAAAGACTGGAACAAGATACTTCTGATGCTGGTGTAGCACTTCTTAAGCATATATTCAAGGCTTGGGAAGCATCACAGAATGCTCTTGGAGTATTTGTGACTTATCCAAGGCATTTGATTGCGTTGAGCATCAAACACTGGTAACGAAACTAAATTACTATGGTATCAAAGACTCTGCCCTAGAACTAATATCGTCGTACCTCAGTTTCAAAACTCAAACTATCGATATAAATGCTACGAGATCATCTGGTTCACAAGTAAAAATGGGATTCCCTAAGGATCTATTCTGGATCCCTTTCGGCTTCTAACATACACAAATGATTTGCCATTCTTTGTCGAAACTTTATGCGCTATAGTATTGTTTGCAGATGATACTTCTTTAATATTTAATATGCTAAAAAAAGAAATGTATAAAGTTTATGCTACCTAATGTTAAAGCTGAACTAACAGAAATTAAACTTAATGATGAAAAGCTCGAGTTGATCGATTCAACAATCTTTTTGGGTGTAACGCTGGACTCTAAATTGCAATGGCATCCTCACATTTCATTATTGGCAATAAGAAAAATTAGGCAACTCACAATTGTGCCAACTTAAAAAACCAAAATGAGGAGATGGATAAAATTTTTAAAGAGAATATAGCACCACAATCTTGCCTTTCTACAAAAATTTCAAAATCAGAATTCAAATGACTCTCTGAGGATAAATCTATGAATGTAACGCTCGTATTACCAGTTAAAACCACATAGATGGGGAAGTTATTTACATCGTATGGATTTTTTTTAAAAGCTAATTTTTTACTTCAGACTATGGTGATCAGTGAAATTCGAGAACTGGATAACTATAAAGAAAATATCTTAAATTAATCAAAATAGACCACGATTGAAAATCATATCAGATTTTTTTACGCCAATTGTGCATTGTATCTCTTAGATTGAGGGAGATGACTGTACGATACATTTAGTCTATGGAGTGTTATTAGATATCGAGGAGCTTTAAAATAGCAGAAACGCAATGGTTGTATTAGAAGATAATTTACCACAACTCCGAGGCAAGTTTCTTGAACGAAAAACAGGATGTTTTAAATAATTTGTATTTTGCAGCTGTTATATTTATTATTTATGTTTCAAGCTTAGCGGAGAAATTTATTTAGAAGGCTGTAATGTTATTATAAATTTGGCCACTATTAACGATGAATGTGCTAATATCCTAAAGCAACTATCAGAATATAAATGTTGAAATAGGCTAAATGCAAAAAATATTCTTTGGCAAGCTGTCCGATTTGGAAAATACAATCGATCCAAAAGACTGGTGGATATTTTTTTTTTTCAAAAATACATTATTGGGTCAAATAGCAATTAAAATTTTAACAGTACCTGCTACGTCAGCCTCAGTTGAGAGGTCATGTTCTACATTCTGGCATATTCATACGTATAAGAAACAAAGTAACAACAGGAAGAGCAGGAAAAATCTGTTACATATCTCATAACTAGGAGCTCATAAACCAGAATGCTACTAAATACTCTGTTGAAAAAGCTGACTCCAGCGTAAATTCACATCACGAAACAACTAATAGCACAATTCAGAAATAAGTGATTCTGATGATTTTATATCAGTTACAGAAATCATTGAAGAGGATAACCATTCCGATAGATTTACAACCAATAAAGATGATCCACTTATTTAAGATTAGTATTTAAATATAGAGTAGTTATTTAGACTAGTATATAAGTAAGTATATTTAAATCAAAGAAAAATTATTAATGTTTTATGATTTCATTTGACCACTGTATAAATGTATATACTCGTATTACTAACTGTGTTCCTGCAATATCGCCCTTGGAAATTATAGCCTATGTCACCCACATACGGAGTAGCTTCTCGTATGTGAAAGAATTTTTATGCTCGAATTAGTATATCCAAAGATAAACCAAAATAAACAAAGGAAATATTCGTTATTATGATATAAAAATGACAACTTTCGTATCCAGCACACAGGTAACCATAAAGTAATTAAAATTCAAATGAAATATTTTGAAAACTAGGAAAATTTATCTAATAATCCCAGTAAATTCCCACTTTGGGAGCGTTGCCAGCAATGTTTCCAACATACCAGTCCTTGGGTGTGTATCCGGGCTCGGCACATCACTAGCTAGGACAGTATACTTTAGTTATTTCCATAGCGTTATGTCATATGGCATTCTGATTTGGGGTATGGCTGCAAAGCAAATATAGTCTGTATTTATTTTACAAAAAAGAGCAGTAACGGCTATTTATCAGTTGGGTTCCAGAAAATTACTTAGAGATAAATTCAAAAATGTTGGGATATTAACAGTGGCCTCTCAGTTTATATACAATCGCATACTTATGTTAGAAAAAATATTAACAATTACATTAAACGTAGTCATGTACACAATTTTAATACTAGAAACAAAGATAAACTTGTTTTGCCGTCATGCAGGTTAAAGAAGGTTCTATCAACATTTATGGGTCAAGGTATACACTACTACAACAAAATTCCAATGGAAATTTTAAACTTACCCTTGCCTAAATTTAAAACTCATATTAAAAATTGTCTACCCAGTAAAGGATATTATACTGTAAATTAATATTTAAACGACAAAACTGCTTGGTGTTAATTATGGCTTATTTTATTGTATTATAAATTATTTATCGGTTATATGTATATATGTCGAGCTTGTTTATGTAGACGTGTGATTCGATTAACGTAAATACTGTTTTACTTTTATATTTTCTAATATTGAATGGAAAGTGACATATTTTAATGAAGTCATTTTTCAATCTTGACGCTCTGTATGTAATAAAACAGGGAAAAACAAGCAGCCCTTGCCGAGTTTCTTGCCGGTTCTTCTCGGTACAAGGTCTCCCGCCGTAGATTTACGAACCGATGGCATAGCTCTCGACTTTAACAAGTGTTTGTAACAGCCTAGACTGAATAAATAAATATTATACAACATCATATGTACATTAAATGCAGTCAGAGGCATGCACAAAGGGAGAATGATTTGACTTATTATTCAACTTCATAACTCCGATTGTATTATGCAACATCATACATGATGTCTTTTTAACTTTTAGCTTTTTCAGTTAGTTGATTTTTTAATTATAATTTTTGACTCTTCTGTTTTTGACATTCACGAAACATTGTATTCCAGATTCTCGACTTAATAAGACTAAGGTGATAGTAATCCCATAGAAAACCATAATTCTAATGGAATTGTAATACTATATGTACTATAAGTAGTAATTAATGTAAATAGGTATCTACTATTATCATTTAATATTAAACATTGATAAAGATGTTTTATATTTATTTTAAGCCTTATCTATTTTAAAATCGTCTACCAACTTCAGTACGTCGATATTAGTGCTGGATGTAAGTTGTGAAATTTATTTGGTGAGTCAGTAAAGTGAAAATATGTATGTCTGATTATCAGCCGGTTTCTGAATTGAGAAAAATACAAAATCTCTACTCATTAATCTCAATAACTTAAGATTTTGACTTATTTTATTTGATCAATTTTGCATTTAAAAAGTCCACTTTATGCCTGGCACTCTGAGACTCTGAGATGGGATTCGAACCCATGATTATTCGCAATCAGGGCGACTGCTCTAACCACTGAGCTACCCAGGACATAATAGGACTGACGAAGTTTTCAAGCCCTTCTGACTTTTTCGCTACTACTCTTCCTGACCTCCAAATAGAAAGATGCTAAGATATTAAGTAAAAACTAATTTAAATTTTCACTAATGGTGGGTAGAGGCGACTCAAAAAAAAATGTGACAGGTCAATAAATGGAAGGAAAATGGACATGATTCTTTGTTCTAATTATTTTATTTGATCAGAGTTGCATTGACAATGCCATACCGAAAATACTTAAAAAAATACTTACTAAACTTAATGAAAAATACTTAAAAAATCCACTTTGTCCCTCAAATTCATCAGTCATGTTAGGTCCTGGGTAACTCAGTGGTTAGAGCAGTCGCTTCATTAAGGGTCTTTGATTAAGTTCATTAAGAATATTTTTCGGTATGGCGTTGTGTAGGCAAAATTGCGATATGTAGGTAAATTCCATTCATTCATATCACAGAGCATGTCGTGGTTACCGTGGTTGATGTTTGTGATGGTGGCGTGCGCGAGTGCGGAGCAATCTAAACTTAGAGTGCTAGTGGTGTTCCCGTTTCCGAGCAAGAGTCATACCATACTCGGCGACGGTGTCGTCAGGCATCTACTCAAAGCAGGACACGAGGTGACCAATTAAGAGGACGTACACCAAATGTCACTAATTTACATTTTGTTTTATAAAAAAAATAATTTCCATATTGATTTTAATTAAAGACAAGAAAACTACACCAGTAAATACTTGTATATTCAGATTTTGTAAGTTTTTTAGATTTATTGATCTTTATTCTTGATGATGAGTAATTTTTATCCAACTTTCGCTCAGGTGGTAGAAAATGCCCTTGGCATTAAGTCCGCCATTTGTGTTTTATTGTAAGCAATAAAGAGTATATAAATACACTGATAGAGCCCAAATAAGGATCTATAAAATTTGCTCGATAGGGTAAGTAAAGTTACAAACCTGTAAATTTTACGTTTTCTTTTCATTTCTACTCGTAAATATACCTTTTTTAAAAGAAAACATTGATAAATATGTGACATACTATCTACACGACGGCTTTAAGGAGAACTTTTACAAAAATTGTAATGGTTTGGGAGTAGTTCATAAAAAATAGCACACGTCGAATATGATAGATAGCACTTCTTTAAATTTAACCAAAGTTTACCAAACAAAAACATTTCACAAGCATTTTGGTTAGTAACAAAAAATAAATAAAATAAAAATGCTATGATCTTATAATGATAAAGTATTAGGTAACACGATAATTCTAAAATATAATGAGTTGAGTAGAAATTATCTACCAACTAAATTGCTGGAATGTCTTAAAGTTAAGCATTCTTATCTGTTATATAAACAGACAAACTAATTATTATTAAGTTTAATAATTTTATTAATGTATATAAACATTTTCAGGTCACCTTCATCACACCTATCGTTAAGAAAAATGTAGACCCAAATCTTCGCCAAATTGACGTCAGTGATAATTTCAAAATAATTGACAGTAAGATGATTTTTATATATCTATCTATCTATACCAATAAAGTAATATTTTATACATATACCTATTTTCCCGCGTCTTCATCGGCGTAAATTATAGGTTAAGTCACCCGCCTTTGAAGTAGCTTAGAAATTATAAAATGGGCGCAGTAGTTCCGCAGACAATTCGATGCGAATAAACAATCAAAGCTTTCTTATTACGAGTATAGAATATTATTTTACACATATATAAATACAAATATTATTTTTTGTTGTTACAAAAACAGATAAATTAAAAAGTTTCAGCCGATTTACTAAGCCTAAAGGCTCTGATGGATAAAACAAGTACAATATCGTTCATGACATCAATCCAAGTAACAATGGACGTCAACAACATGACATTCCACAATACGAACGTTCAGAAGTTGTTGAGGGACCCAAAGGAACAATTTGACGTTATCATCGCTGAGTGGATGTATAATGAGTTGTATTCTACGTAAGTGATAAACTTTATTAACTCTATAAATTTATTGTGAGTCTTGTTTCTATAACCATAAAGTGTAAAATACATAGTATTAGTTATTCATTTCACTTACATACAGCGGGGATCAGAGGCATGGATATTGGTAAATCTCCTGATGGCGTGATATTTCAATCATTCTGATTAGACAAATATACTAGCTTTTGCCCGCGACTTCGTCCGCGTGATATGTGCGGGCAGCATATATTGTGACGGGTTCGATGCTTGGGGGAATTAACGAAAAGGCTGACTAGCTTGAAAATAACTTTATTTTATGGTAATAAAAGGTAAAAAAAAGAAACCGTTACAAACAAAAAAATAATATAAGTTCATATATTCATATATTATACTAAATATAAAATTGCTTAATAAAACAAATACGTACCTGTTTTTTGGTTTCTTAATAAAAACTTGGATGCTATTACAGGATATAATTTTATATATTCTTTTTTAAGTCACATATCTTCATAATTATAATATTTATATTCTTAAATTTATACGATTTACCTACATGTTCACAACAGAAGATTTTTTTACGAACTGACCGAACTGACCATTTTATTAGTAAGTAATAGTAGTTTAGTCCATGGGTCAGGCGAAGGAACTAAGCCATACAGCCAAATCTAGGGCATATTTGTTTAGTCAAAATTTCAAATTACGAAAGATGAATAATAAAAAGAAATGATATCGAATATCAAAGACAAAAAGTTTGCATGCTGAAACCTAGGACAAAATAAACGGTGGTACGGTACACCGTTACATATTTCCAAAATCGCTGTTTTTCGAGCTAATGATGAAATGACTACAACAAAAAAAGTCGAAGATACAACAACAAAAATAACAAATATCCTATATGTTTTAGCACTGTATCTTTGGAAACTTAAGAGACAAACCAATCCAATTTGAAAAACAGATGGAAAAAACAGTTCTGAAGAAATTTGTTCTTATGGATTTTTTAGCATTTTTCTATAAGAAAATATACTTTATATATTATATATATATATATTATATACTTACATGACATCAACGTACGCTCGACAAATAATATTCGTGATGTACACCACAGAGCTTTATTGTTCATTACAATACAATTTTATCGTAAGTTGATGCTTATTTTTCAGATTCTCGGCTATCTTCGGGGCACCCTTTATATGGGTATCTACAGCTCAGCCCCACTGGATGGTACTGAGGTTAATAGACGAGGCAAGCAACCCAGCATATACCTCAGATATTGTATCATCAGTGGTACCACCATTTTCTTTTTACGAAAGGGTCCAACAACTATTCATGCAAATTATGGCATTGGGAATGCAGAAATTGTGAGCCTAAAAGCTTTTTAAAATGCACAATCATAGATTCATAGTGCAGGGTGTGCAATGCACACCTGCGCCGCTGTCTCACAGACAGCTAAGAGCAGGCCCGTCTTTACCCATGGTGAAGGGTGCAATGCACCCGGGAGTCGCGCTTTGTGGGGCGCCGCGCTGATGATGGTCTCTTATATAAATGTGTAAAAAGTGGGCTGGGGGCGCCAAAGCATTACTTGCACCCGAGCGCCTGTTGTGCTTAAGATGAGCCTGTAAAATAGTATTTATTAAAAATTATAAAAAATATTTGTATATTACTACGTTTATATTTGTAGGACCGGAAGGTGGTTGGTTATGGTTCTACATGGTAATGGCAACTGGTAAGGGAACTAAAAGAAAATTGTCTCCCTTCAAGCTATGGGTCCTCGGTCCATTTGATGTAGGTTGAATGTTGTACAATATATGTTAAGTCGCGAGGAAACTTTTTTTTATTATATGGCAATAGACGCGGCGAAACTTAGTCAGCGCGATGTAGCTATCGTGGTGCCATCTCGTGACTATTCGACGTAACTTGATGTTAGTGCGATGAGATAGCTGTCGCCAAATATTAAAATTAATCAGTCGTTTCGTCCCCTAGGTTTATAAACCCAAAGGTGGATGTAATTTATACTTCTTTAACGCCGTTTATAAGACAAAGAGGCAGAGAAGTCCCGGAATTTGAGGTGTTGAAATACAACGCTTCCTTGATGTTGGGCAATTCGCATGTCTCTATGGGGTCTTCGCCAGCACTGCCACAAAGCTACAAGGCTGTCGGAGGATATCACATTGATACTGACATCAAACCATTGCCAACGGTATTTTTTTATTCATGAATATGTTTATATCAACGATGTTTTTTATTATATTATTGTAACTAGCATTCCGCCAGCGGCCTCGCCCGGGTGGTCTTGTATTATACATAAAAAGCTTCTTTATGAATCACCTGATCCATGAAAAAAAACCGCATCAAAATCCGTTGCGTAGTTTTAAAGATTTAAGCACACATATGAATATAGGGACAGAGAAAGCGACTTTGTTTTATACTATGTAGTGATTATTAAAAAATAATTATGCTATGTTAAATTTTTAATATCTATGATATATTATTATAACAGGACTTGCAGAAGATTATGGACAATGCAAAAGACGGAGTAATATACTTCAGCATGGGTTCGAATCTAAAAAGCAAGGATTTACCCGTGGAGGTAATTCAGGGGCTGCTGAAAGTATTGGGCAGTTTGAAACAAACTGTACTGTGGAAGTTTGAGGAAGTTTTGCCGGGATTACCCAGTAACATCCACATCCTACAGTGGGCACCGCAGCTCAGCATACTTGGTGAGCTCAAGCTTAAGATATATTAGGCCCGCGGCGCCACTTATAAATTGCTAGAGGCGTGGAATATGTACCCTGGTCGATGTTATAATAGGTATAACATGACCTATAAAGCATTTAATTGACTTGTTAACTGTGGTCAGCTCACTTTTTGTCAACAGTTCCACGATTTATAGTTTATTTTATGTCTAGTGAATAACCTAAAAGATAATTTTACCAACATAAACTGCATACTAAAAATTATGGCAGCGTATTATTATATCAAAAACAAAAATGATGTACCATATGTTTGTGTAATAATGAATTATCTATCCTATTATGTAATAACAAAATACATCATAGGATATATACTCTAAAAGTATTTAAATAGTGACCCCACGTTGGGCGCCATTTTAATATGTCTCCCTGTATTGATATTTTATTAGTCGAAAGTTGACATAATATAGTGAAGAGGTGAAGTCATATGTTTTATTGAAGCAGTAGTTCCATAGTGGACATTTTTTGTAACGCATTCCTCGAGTGACTTGCATTATACAAAATTGATAACCAAACTAATATACCATTAATTTGCAGCACATCCAAACTGTAAGCTCTTCATTACACACGGAGGACTGCTGTCTACAACTGAGACTATCTACTTTGGAAAACCTATTATTGGAATACCTGTGTTCGCCGACCAATTTGTGAACGTAGAACGAGCCGTGAAAGCCGGTATAGCAAAAAAAGTCGATCTATCTTATAATATAGCTGATGAACTCAAAGTAGCTATACACGAAATTCTGAACGACCCTAGGTGAGTTACAATTTTAAAATAAATCATTTTTAACTCAAGTTTAAACATTTTAAAGTAAGGTTTAAAAATAAAAAAATATCCTTTGTTTATGTATTATTCTTTGTTTGTTTATATTAAAAGTTTGGGTAGATTGCCTACTATAATACACTCTATAGTATCGATAAAAGTGAATAAGTGCTTGAAGAATTCGTCAGTCCTATTAGGTCCTGGGTAGCTCGGTGGTTAGAGCAGTCGCCGCCCTGATTGCGAAAGATCGTTCGAGTCCTATTACAAAGTACCAGGGACAAAAACAGATATTATTTAAGCATTTTTCTTTAAGAACATTTCTGAATTTCAAGTTACTACGTTGGCGTATTTTCTTTTTTATATCAATGCAATGAGGCATTATTTGGTCATATTTTATTTCAGTTACACTCGTAAAGTAGAGGAGTTGTCATTCGTGTACCACCACCGTCCCGTGTCGCCGGGGGCGGAGCTGGTGCACTGGGTGGAGCATGTGGCCAGGACCCGAGGCGCGCCTCATCTGCGCTCGCCGGCGTTACATGTGCCGCTCTACCAGAAGATGTATCTAGATCTAGCTGCTGTTGTATTCATTATACTTATTGCTATAACCAAACTCATCAAAAGACTGTTCAGAAAAAAGAGTACTGAGAAAAAGAAAAAGACGAATTAAATTTATTAGTTAATTTTTAAATAGATAACAATAAATAAAGCAGGCCTTTAAAAGGAGGAGGGTTAATGCTCCTTTGTATTCGTTTTGATCACCATTTCTCCGCAAATTTAGATTGACATTCAAAATGACACGAAAAACTACTACTAAGAAAATCAAAAACTTCAAAGTTATTCTTTGAAACAGCTGAATATATTACTGCATGAAATTTAAATATTTTTTCTTATATAGAGTATGTTTTTTTTTAAGTTATATCAAAACATATATTCCATTGCAACACCAAAGTTCTTACTCAAGATGAATTGCTTAAATAAATTGTGTATCATAGTGTACGAAATTTGACTTGTTAATTAAAACATTCAACAGATCTTTAACACATTAATAAAGTATTTTTACGGATTCGTTGAATAATAATCTTCATAGTTATAATATAGATCTACTTTTTAAATTCCCTCATTAAGTTAAGACAAGTTGATATACGAAAATATCAGTCTTATTTTTATAGAACACGTCTTTTCTCTTCAAAATACTTCCAGTATTTTTAACATTTTTCTTTGCTAATTTTTTTCATATAAAAGACGTATGAAATCATATAAAACACAACTATTTAAAATTTATTTAATCTTTTATTCGTCCCATAAAGCTATTAACAGTTATCATTATTATTCTTATATCAAACACTAAATCCTTATACATAATGTACTAATAATAAGGTGACTAATTTAATAAGTGAAGTCTAAACTAGAAGTATGCTTTAGACACCAGCATAAAATACCTTCTTACAGTCTTACAAATTCATGAAATAAATCTACTATATTGCTTATAAACAAATACACTATGACATATCAATATTGTCTTAATTCTTTTTACTACATGATCAAAAAGTACACAGGTAGTTTCCAATAAAATACATAAAAAAAATATTAATCATCATATCGCACATTTTCTCAAGACAAATAAAGCTGTCTTTTGCAATTTATAGCTACTACCTAACGCAGGGTCGGTGCAAACCCGACTGAAGATCTGATAAGTTTTACTCGGAAGTATGCATTAGTAATCAACAGAAATATGCGTTAGTAATCGACAGAAATATGAGTTAATAATCGACGGAAATATGAGTTAGTTATCGACGGAATTTCCGTCGAGTCTGCATGTGTCTCCGTTGAATGTCATACTATATTAATTGTAAGTCAATCGCATTTTCACCGATATACACCGACCTTTAATTATAAATGCATACTAAATATTCTAAAATTCAAAATACAAATAGTCCACTATATTTTTGTTCCAAGCCTCGAAATATTTAGATGCATTAAGACTGCATTTAAAAAAAATACACTGTTAATTTATTGTCTCATTAAATTAACTTTGACAGAGAAGAAAAAAAAATTTCTAAAAATTTCAGTGATCAGAAATGAAAACAAAAATTACCCACACAATTTTTTATGGAAACTGTATTTTTTTTGTCTTTTTAACAACAACACTTATAACGAGCTAGTCATCAATAATTTATAGAACATGTTAATTGATTTTTTTTTTCAACATTTATAGTATATTTATTGTTATAAGATAGAATATTTCCTGATCTTACATACAATCAAAGAATCCAATCAAAATCTTATCGTGTTGAAATGAAAACAGTGGCGTAACTACAAATGGCGTAAACTGCATGGCAAGTCGACAAAATGCCACGGGCCTTCAGCTATAAGGGGCCCCCGGTCAGAGGAGACTCCTTAATCCTGACATTTATTATTACTTTACCTCCTTAATCCTGACATTTATTTATTTATTACGGTATAGTTACGCCATTGAATGAAAAGTGACTTTTATCATATAAGCTAAACTTTAGTGGGAAAACTAAAACAGTAAAATTATTTATTAACCAAGAGGAGTAAGATATTCTCCTTTTGGTGAATAAAAAAGTATACGTTTGAGGCCTAGAAGTTAAGTTATATATACGTATCCTCGATGGATAATAACACTTAATCACTTACAAGTAAAAAGTTACATACGACAGAACTCAATACACGACTAATAAACTGTGTTGCCATTAAAAAAAAAACAAATTTCGAGAAACATGAATTACGCTCAAAAAAGGAAAACATACTGTCTCTGTTCTTTGTTATAAAACCCATAGCCTTAAATACATTATAATTTACAAAATTGTAACCTAATAAAGCTGTGCAAAGGATGGTCACAGCACGACGTAACATAACACTGGTCATTACATCACTGGTAATTGAAATAATCATAAAATTATCTATGTAATAACAAAAATGTCGTCGGCTGTCATAGAACGCTTGTTGATGATATCTATTGATATTCTTTAAAACAATTAATTTTGTACACTATATTTTATTGTAATAAAAGAACAATTTTAAATACAAACGAATCAACGTTTACGAAATGGAGGTGGCACAATTTATGGACTTTAAAATTAAGTTTTTTTCTCCAAAATATTACAACTGAATACCAATAATTAACTGATATGAAACAAAACACATACAATGTAATACACGTGTAATTTATTTCTCTTGCTTTATTTATAAAATATCTAAACAATATCATATACTTTGTTAGTATTCTAAAAGATACCACTCAATCAGTTACCACAAATTATATAAATAAACTTACGTTATTCAGGAGACTAATGCTGGTAGAGTGAAATGCCATCTTTCATCTGTTTCTTGGAAGAGGGGTGCGCGAGCTTTCACCCCCATGGCGGTCGGGCGTTGAGTGGGATCTTCGCTTAACATCATCTTCAAAACCTCCGTCTGACAGAACAAACATAAAAATATGTATAGTAACATTCATTTGTTTGCTTACTAATTTGTTTACTAACCTACTGTGACTATAGAATTGATAGAAAGCCCACTATTTAGTTATTGTGAATGTCTTTTTAGCTTAAGTGATATATTAAATAAAAACAATAATAGCTGTAAGTCAGCAGCATGACAGGTTATACAAAACTAACAAATTTTCTCACTCGATTTTAAACCCTAATGAGGATCGATGTCAAAATTAAACAACTTTCGCAAGGACCAGTCATAGGGTGGGTGACCAAAAATTTATGATATGAGCCCCTCCGTGCTTACGAGGTATGCTAAGCCATGTGTCCCAGCTGCATATACAGTTGTTAATACACACCAATCCAAACCCAGTTCGCACACTGACTTCAAGGTTCTTTGAAATCACGACTTCGATTCCAGGTCGGGACAAAGTAGAAAATTATCTTTTCTACAATGTCTCAGATCTGTATGTTGTAAAACCTTTGTAATTAATATCTGAAACAATGAAGGTATTACGCTTCATTGTTTCAAATACTCCATATGGGGCTACTAGCTTTAGCTAGGGAATATGCGTCCGATTCGAAATAGGGTCAAATATATTTTTCATTAAGATCATTATTGTTTTAGAATAAAGTCTATGTAAATAAATTTCAACATAAGTTCATGTTCGCCTTGAAAATAATTATTAAAAAGTTGTTAATCGATTTGGGTAATTTAATAATACATTCTTAATGAAAAATGCCTAAAAAATCCACATTGTCCCTGGCACTCTGAGATGAGACTCGAACCCACAACTTTTCGCAATCCGAGCGACTGCTCTAACCACTGAGCTACCCAGGACTTAACAGGACTGGCGATTTTTTTCAAGCACTTCTCGCTACTACAGAGGGTAGTTTCAACAATGTTCAGGCAATTCAACCAAGCAACCGGAAATATTTTTTTATAAATATTTAAACTTTCGATAAAGGTGAAAATCAATTTTGCTTTTTCTTTTTTTTTATGGTTTGAATGTGAAGGTATGCGTTTCGGGTCGGGTCAAAGTAAAAAATGTTTTAATACCCTCATTGTTTCAGATACTACATACAAGGATTTCAGCTAATGAGGGAGTATTAAAAAAAAACATTAATTCCCAAAATCAAACTAGATGTTGCTACGGTACTTTCTTGATTTCTCCGTGACAACCCTTCCGTTTTTCTTTCATGTATTTTCATCATCAAAAGTAAATTACTTTCAAAACTCAATAAACAACTTATATTCTATTTGTACTTTTTCGTATTTGTATTGATGTCTAAGTTTCGAACTTTTCAAATTTCAGTTTTTTTATATGTTAGTTAAAAGGAACGGAAATTACTGTCTTTGGACCATTCCTGCAAAAATCAACTTTTGCTAGTGGAGGTACTTTATTAGTGCTATCTTTTTTTTTAATGCTTCCTCATTATCTTAGAATCTGCGCAATCTATGTGTTGTTGTCTAATATTCATTTTATTTTACTATCAACACGAACAAAATGTTATTTTACCTCTTGCGGGTGTTTCTCGGTGAAGTTCTGTGGGTAATGAGAGTTGCGCGCACGCATCAGACAGGCAACTCGTTCCGACTCAGTATCGAACGGATGCAACAGCTCGTACAATATCAAACCCAATGAATATATGTCAACTTTGTAGCTGTAGGCACGGCCTAACAGCTGTTCCGGGGACATATATAAATGTGTACCTGAAATTAAATACATATACACCATACATTTTTAATTACCGAATGTATACATGTAGTAAACAAAACGAAGTTTGCGAACATTTCATATTTTGGTAATTAATCATTCTCTTACTGCTTACGTATAAATATGCAATAATAATGTATTATCGAATAAAAAATACACTTTCTAACCACCACGCTTACTACTTTACTATTTACTTCCCCCCACTCATTTTTTAATGAAGTTGGCGTTAATTAAAAACTGCTTACTGCATTATGCTATGCTAGTGTAAAGTTGCCGTAAAACGTCCGACAAAAATATTTAAATCTAATAAAGATTAAAATTTTCTCAACTAATCAAAAATAATAAGATCTGGGTACAAGATACCTCATCCTAAAAGCGCATAAGTTATACTTGAAAAAAATTGACAAAATTATAAAAACCTAAATATAAATTAGAAAATTTACGCAATTACATTTTTTAATTTCAATTTGTACATCCTCATGGTAGGGTGTCCAATCGTTTGTCATAATCGGAATACATATTAGAATCTTATTACATAAAGTTTATTTTTATCTTAAAGTCACAACAACCCCCCCCCCCCCCCTTCCAAACACACGGATAATATCACCAGATACGCTCATACTGTGTATACATGTAAATAAGATACTCACCGACTCTATAAGTATGTCGTGCGGTGGCATCAATTTCGTTAGTCGCCTCCCCATCTTGAGATCCATCAGTCATAGCTGTGACCAGACCGAAGTCTCCAACCTTCACGCGCCCGTCTGGAGCGAAGAATATGTTGCTAGGTTTCAAGTCGCGGTGGATTAGACCCGCCAGATGAACGTACTCGACTGCTGACACTATCTGACTGAAGAGTATCTTCACCTAACGAATTATGATAAAAAAGGTATGTAACGAAAACAGTTTTCTACGTTTTAAGTACAAAGTACACATGACTAGTTGATGTTTGGTGCTTGTCTTTTTTTTAATAATAGAAGAGGGGTTTAGACCATACAGGCTGGATTAGTAAAAAAGAGCTTCTTCTTTTATATGTTTAATTTTATTTACCTATTTTTATAAAATAGACATGTATTTAAGTATACTATATGTATCAAGTAAAGATATAATTATTTTATTGTAGTGGGTATTTAATATGTTGTGTGTGACAACTCACCAACAGGCGTTGTTGCGAAATATGTCGTAACAAAACAAGCTGAGACAGTCCTGATTGACCCATTTGTTATTGTTAATTTTTCTTCTCCGACAACACATCATACAAAATATTGTATTGTACTTACTCTTTTTCTAAGACATAACAATCGTGTGAGATAAAACGGCCCAAGCTGCTATGCACTCACTTGGGACACACCGATCAGCCCTGCGGTTCAGTAAATATCCAAACCCGAATCCGAATTCACTTTAAAAAGCGACATCAAATTGGACAAATTGACATGGAAATAGAATATCTGAGATACGTATAATCAATCAATATTGTTTTGTATTTTTATACAGAAATTCTATTTATTCCATTCTATTTCTATGTCATTTCGAAACTCATTCACTTATGCCAAGGAACTTTATAACGCCGCTTTTGAAGTGAATTCAGACACCAGAATGAATTTGAATTCGTGTCCAGATTTTTACAGAATCCATCCATCCATCAATTTTACAAAAACGGGCCTCATGCTTACTCTTGAACGTAATCGCGATCGGTCGACATTACAATTGTGACGTTTCGTACAGTTGATTTTGTACACTAGCGCCAATTGCCTCAATATTTTGTGGTTATTGGATGAAGTAACTGACGATGAGTAAGTATTAACTCTATGTTTCAAGAGTACAAGCTAAGATTTGATGGAAATTAAGATCGTCGAAAAAGTGCAACATCAAGGCGTTGTCGTACTGCAAATTATTACACTGTGGTCAATACCTTGTCCCCTCTAGCGGCTGGAGTTCGGTTATGCCTCAGCCAATCATGCAAACTGTCACGACGACAGAGTTGCATCTGAATATACAGGTACATCTTGGTATCGACAGGCTCTTCACGCACGCACATATCTAGCGACCAGTGGCGGCGGTGGCCTTTCTGCTAAAAGATTAAATGACAGCGAATATATAAACAATAAATATAAAATAAATAAAAATAAATATTTAACAACATCACATACATTGCTCAGATTCCAAGATGAGTAGCTAAAGCCCCCGTATTATGGAGTATCTGAGACAACGAAGGTACCACAACACCCAGACCCGAGTCAATATAGAAAAGTTTATTTTCTACATTAACCCGACCGGGAATCGAACCCGGGACCTCAAAAATGGCGACACCTTGAAACCGGCGTGCGAACCACTCGGCTACGGAGGTCGTCAACAGAAATAATTGTGATCTCGACTGGTTTCTTACAAAACCATTGTTTTTCCTTAGTTTTTTTCATATTTAATTAATTATGGTGTCTCAATATTATACTATATTGATCTTGACATCTATAAAATACGCACACTAAGAAAAATAAGTAAGTCTCGCTTCTTATCTTAACTTAATGATAATTTGTGCTTCAAAGGCAATATCAGGTCTCAACTCCGTAGGACAATAAATTATCCAAAAAGGCATTTCTTTAAGAGTCATATTAATTAGCGTTTTAAAAATTTCGTTCACGAAGTAACAGAGCAGGCTTTAAGGTCAATTTTAACTCAATAATTAAAACAATCGCCCGGATATTGAAAGATTATTTGTTCTAGACACGATTGGCCTGACCAATCCTAGATCAATTCTGGTTGATGTGAACTTCATCAAATAGTTTCATTTTACCATTTAAAAGTTGAAATACTCGTAAGATGTTCAGATAGTTACGCCGTAGAGCCGCAAATATTACTAATCTAAGTTTTAAATATTTTTCTATGAGGTAAAAATTTAAATTTAATGAATAATCAATAAAAAACTGTAAAATTAAAAACTAAAAAACAGAAATAAAACTCCTAAAATAGGTGGCGCTGTTACAACTCCTTGAAATTTATTTTACTTAAAATCCATCTGTTCCCTGGTAACTTTTTTAAATTCAAGTATATTGTACACAACACCTCACTGATCATTTGAAAATTATTGTATTTCTGAGCGTCAATACGAAAATATGCGTTGATAGTGCTTATCCATTATTAAATTCGTTGTAAGTATTATAACCTAACTTTTGTCTTACTAGGAAATGTGAACTGTAACGAATCATCGACTATTTTCTATGATTTGAAATGAAAATTTTAAACTGCATATAAAATATAACAACTAATTTTGCGTCTTTTAAGAGTTAATTAAAAAAAAAGAAATATGTCCACTCACTTTCTTCTTCCTATTTGGTTTAGAACTGTCAGTCTTTGTAACACCATCGATTTCTTTGACCCTCTCCAGCCTTTTATCAATGGACATATCATTTGTTGGTTCAGACACACTCTGTCCAGATTGATCTTCCGAGTGAGCGAATACAATGAACGAGTCGTCATTATCACTCTTTTGTTTAGACAATGTGTGATTCGGCAAATCGCTCAAGTTCTTTGATAAACTTAAGTTGCTATTAAACTGATGGGAGAGATCAGATGAGGTTTTATGTGACGCTGGATTGTCATTTGATGCGTTTTCATCGAACACTATGCTGAATGAATCGTTGCAGCTCAGCGATCTGTTATGAAATTGGGAATTAGTTGGCATAAATCATTCCGACAACAATAAATCTTTTGATAACTTCGCAGAATCTTTGGTCTCTTTTGTCGCTTTATTAACTTCTATGATATAGCAATGATCGTCTTATAAAGTCAATTTCAATTAAAACTAATAGCCAACCACTATTATAAAATCTTTTTGTATCATTTAGTATGAAAATGTATATAAATAAATATTCACAAAAAAAGGTTCAGTTACCACGTTGAAACTAATAGTTTATTATACTTTAAACCATTATTTTGTAAATATTTCGTCATGTCACTCTAAAGGTAAACGCAAATCGATACAAAATAAGTTAGAAATAAATTTCTGTAAAGAAAATTCAGCTCATTCGGTTCCACGTACCTTTGTCTCTTAGATTTCTCAGCGGCCAACTGTTTCTCTAAATCAAAGGTGTCGATACACTCGTCGCATTTCTGTAGATCGAGTGTAACACTTGTACTGTTGTGCACTGACTTCGGAGGGGGCGATGTAGCCGTGTATTCATCTGACACGTATGATACACCGGCCGCGTCTAACTCTCTAAAAGACAAGACATATTTCTTTATTTCTTTTTATATGAACATCTACAGTAGTTTGTAGATCTCTGAGATATAAACAGCTAATTTTAATGTTAGTTTTTTTTCCATTTGATCAGCTGTTTTAGTTGTTATTCGCTTTATCATAGTGTGGGTAACAGAAGGGAAACTTTCTTTCCTAGTCTATGTAACTTCTATGCAAAGTTTACAACGTATTATAGGTATATACTTTGACGTCACAGTCTAGTAAATAAATTAAATACATACATTATTTCTTGCAAATTTTGTGTGATGGGTTAGAGGAAGATGGGAGGAAGAAATTGCAGAAGTTGATGCTTTAAAATACATCATGCATATTCCCTTTTATCAATTATATGAATAATTTTAATGTTGATTATAAATCTTTAAATAAATATTGCACTACGAAATTTTGTAATAAACTAAAATAGGATTAGAAGATGAAAAAACTGTGATATTTACGACATTTATGTCATATACAAAAGTGTATATTTTGTTAGATATTCCCTTGAAATTGCTTACGAATAATAGACTGGACTCTGATTTAACAAGTGAACTTCTATTTCTTTCCTTGTAAAAACAACTTTTTACATCTCGGTAAATATTAAAAAAATTAGTTGATTTGAATCTGAAAGTAAGGATAGAATCATTAAAATATCTACTAAATCATAAGATTTTAATTGTTTATAATTGAAATTATATATATTACACAAATTAGATTGTGCAGTGGCGCCTACCGGTTTGTTTACTGAAATGTGACGAAAATAAATGTTTGCATACCTGATCCAAATAGCGTCACGTTGCTGTTGCCAAAGCGGTGGTGGTTCTTCGAGCCACGCGTTGAAATATCTCACTATGTTTTCATGTTCTAATTTAGCCAGAGCTCGCACTTCACGTAATACGCGCTCTCTCTTCGACTCCCTAATATCATAAATATGACTAATTCTTAAAAATTAATAAGAAAATTTTATTTGAAATCAATTTCTATACAATGATTTCCAAGTGGCTTAAAATTTTTCGATAAAAAGTTTACGAATTTATTAGCTGTTTTCCCGCGACTTTACCCGCGTAAATTATGGCCTATGTCACTCTCCTATGATGTAACATCTTATAAGTGAAAGTATTTTTTAAATTGGTCCAGTAGTTACAGAGCCTATTCGATGCAAACAAACAAACAAGCGAACCTTTCCTCTTTATAATATTAGTATAGATTCATAAGACCAATAAGTACTCATATAATAGATTTATTTTCTTCTATAAATGGACAAGAAAATAGGGCAAACACTCGAATGATACACATTTCGTCTTGAAATTCTATTTTATCTTGATTATCTGCTCAAAATAAAGGTCTACGATTGAGTAAATCTAACTTCCGAATATGAAGTTCTATTTTGCCTCACATTTAGATAGTGTTATTTATTTTCAACCTAAAAGACTTATTCCTAATAAAGTGCGTAAAAAGCATTTCTTACTTTCTAGGTAGTGTAATTCTTTTGACGGCGTACGAACAATGGTCTATATTGTTTCTGGCTTCGAAGACAACGCCGAAACCGCCCCGACCGAGACATCGTAACGGAGTGAAGTCATTCTCGTATCGCCCCGAATACTCTGTGGTTACCGGCCGTTCGTAATACCTCTCCACTACTATGTTCTCTTGCTAGTAGAACATACGAAAATTCATTAAGATTACATCCTTATAATCAGCCTATTAGTGGTCAAACTTATTACGTTACATGTTAAGGGGAAGGTGGGAATATTCAACTAAAGCAAAGCCAAGCAGTCGCATGAAACTAGTTTCATTGCATTAATTTCACGTGGCCAATGCCCGTTTTCACTAACCCAGAACAAGGCATAGCTTAACAAGAAATTACTTAATATTAAGAATAGCATAAGCAGATTTGTCGTTTCACCAAACGTGTAACGTTAGGTTAGGCAACGTTTGTCTATGATTTTGCATGCATCAATTCTTCTTCTTTATTTAATGTATTTGTGTTAAGATTCCACCAATGTCACGTTAGTCGCCTTTACACGTAAAGAAGCAATAACAAAAAAATATATTTTGAGGTAAGCAGATTTGTCGTTTCACCAAACGTGTAACGTTAGGTTAGGCAACGTTTGTCTATGATTTTGCATGCATCAATTCTTCTTCTTTATTTAATGTATTTGTGTTACGATTCCACCAATGTCACGTTAGTCGCCTTTACACGTAAAGAAACAATAACAAAAAAATATATTTTGAGGTAATAAAACAAGAAAAATTATACGTGGTCTTGTATTTACACAAGCACACAAGACGTCATTGTCCATATATAAAATGTCCAAAAATAAAAAGTAAATTTTTTTTTTTAAATCTCATTGTTTATATCGATATTTTGATATATAAACTCCTTGATACCAACTTACATAATTGATTTTATCCCTTGACACATCCGTTACGGCCAAAGAGTAAATGTATCTATCACATTGCGCAAATGCCCAGCGCTAGGCACCATACATGTCCTAACTTTAAGCGTTCCTTAATGTCGTTAAGTGGCTCCTTGTTATTGGTGAAACGCATTTTCACCTTATACAGTGATCAAATGTTTAGGGGTCACATTTGGGTGGCTCCTAAGTTTAGTGAAAACGGGCATAAGAGATGCGTATTTTTTATGAAACAGGTTTCACGCAACTGATTTCTTCTCTAATTTACATTATGACGAAAGTGGCGACACCATTTGCGCATAGTAAAGTTTCGACGTTGACAGAGTCCTTGTGTCTCAGAAATACTGTTAATTGCATGCCCATACGAAAGCAGTTTCACTTGTACCGATTTCAAGTCAGTTTCAAGAAGCGTATTTTTAGTTTCGTCACACAAGTTTTCTAATGTAAATTCGGCTTAAATGTAACAAGGGGTAGGATGGATCATAAATTAGGTGACTTCACTTTTCAAATACATAAAAAAACACTACTTTTGGTACTAGTAGGTACTACTACTTACACTACGATTGGTACTAGCTACGTATTTTACTAGCGTCGTTCTTTTATGACGTAAATTGGCTACTTGACAGTTAAAACGAGAAATTATCAAATATGTTGGAAATGGTAAATTATATGTAAACAATAACTATGTATTACTTTTATTTAGTTTTGGAAAAAAATACTTACGATTTATAGTTTGTGGGTTACAAGAACCGAAACGCGAGCGGCCATGATGGAGCATGTGCCACATGACGACACATTTCAATAAACTTAACGTCATCGTCTTCGTTTAGAGTGCAACCACTACTCATGTTTATTGAAATGAAATGCCATAACGGCTCGATATGTCACTTGACTGATTATTTTCCCGGAATAATTTAAATTAATATTTATTATTATTTTTTAATAACACTACTTGGTAAAAAATAAATCTGTTTGGTAAAATATAAATTTACGCTGAGACTTCACTAAGTATTAATCAAAATTCATATTAGTAAATACAGACTTAGCAAAGATTAACCTAGTACGCGCCTCTACAGTAGTAATATGTACTCCTAGGAGATTTGTTAATTCTCTGTATAATTTTAGCGTCAATTTACTCTGTCGCTAAATCTTGTTTATTAATAGCACTGATAGGGTTTAATAAGATCATAATTAAAGTACTTTTCCAAACCAGTCAAGTAGCCATTTCACAACAGAACAATAAAAACTAGAAAAATAATTTTGTTCAAAGAATTGTGTTATGTAAAAAATATATAAATCAAATTGAATGTTATTGTTTCACATTATAATCTATATATCATTAATAAAGATCATGCGAGCTTGCTGATGATTTTTAAATTTCTGTATCTATATTTTTACTGGATTAATATAGTTCATTAATTCTCAAGTAGCTCGGTGGCGTAAAGAATAAGCGCCGCGGCCCGCGATCATTGTTGTTAAGCAACTTTCGCAAGGGTCGGTCACAGGATGGGTGACCAAAAAATTATTATCTCGAACTACTTCGTGCTTCGGAAGGCACGTTAAGCCGTTGGTCCCGATTGCATTTGCAGTCGTTAATACCTTCCAATCCGCATTGGGCCAGCGTGGAGGGTCATGGCCCGTCCTCCTTAACCATCCATAAGGAAGGCCTGAGCCCCTGCAGTGGGGACGTAAAAGGGCTGATGATGAATTCATTCTCAAAGTAATCCCAAGATAGTTTGAATCTCAAAAAAACACACTGTAATGATTATTATCAAATATCAAGTAGACTCACCTGACTAACCGGCAAAGGTGTAGACGGTCTAAACAAAGGTGCAAAGAATCTCGGCCAAAACATGAGGTTCATTAGCAATGCAGAGCTAACAGCTATCAGAAGGACCTGCAAGTCACATTTCCGAATTAATATAAGTGATCTGTATTGTCCTATAATAATGCATGATTGTCAATGATTATTGATAATAGAAATGATAACAATTTTTTTTGTCTGTCCGTCATGTAGATTATTGAATAATATTAAACACATTTTTTGCGTCATCAAATTACGGCGATACATTGAATTGAAAGGTCGCATGACGTGAATCAAATACTCAAATGTTTATTGTAAACCAAAGTGTTACATAGATGTTACGACATAATAATATCAGAATCAAACTATGGACCTTTGTAAATTTTCTACATAGTTGTGACGTAGGGACTTTAATACCTATTGTCTATGCCGTTTCTTCTCAAAAAACTTATCTATCTATCATATGACTGACGGACTAAATAGAATTTCTGTTTTTTACTCAGACATTCTCCCTTCAAACAGTTTCAAATAAAATAAAATATTAAATGGCATTAAGTTGGAAATGGCTTATTGTTGTTCGGCATGTTTCGTCACTCTCAGCAATCACTCTCAGCTTCACTTAAAATACATAAAATCTTGCATTTTAAATGCTTTAATAGTTATTTACTTCTATTGGAAAAAAAACTATAAAAGCATAGCATATATAAGAAAATATAAAAAAAATATTGTTTGCTGACTAATCATTTACCCTGTTTATTTATTTTAGTATTGATATATTTAAAATTATCATACCTCTTTCCACCAGAACCAGAGCGAATAGACGTGCACGTGTATATGATGATGGTCTTGTTCCTCGCTATCATTAGGTTGCAATATATCAGGACCATTGGGCGTCTCATCAGTCACTTGTAACGCTTGATCGCAAGTCTCTTTTAAGTATAAGAAGAAGCCGTGGTTACCTGAACAATATACAGTGCATTTACCCTAAATGTATTAAATGGAATAACCAAAAACATTAAAACATTTAGTAATAATTATACAGACAATTTAAAAAAAAGGAATTAGTTTTGTAGTCCTATTTCTTTGGTCAATAAACGAATAACCAGCTAAAGAAAAGGAACCATAAAATGAGTCTGAGGAAATTGGAAATGACCAAACTAGATTTTTTTCTGTGTAACCATCTGGGAGTTGAGTCCAGGGGCTGCAGTCTCGACATTAATAGCGATACGATCGCAAGTTATCCAATGTCAAATATTAACGAAAATAATTGTTTGCGGTAACGATCGTTACTTCAAATGCAAGTCTCTATTACCGAGTTAGCGAGCAAAATCGTAAACTATTCAGACGCTAACATATCGAAAATCTGTATTCATAGTGCAGTTTCCTAAAGGAGAAAATGTTGCCTCTGACAAAAGTATTTTAAATCTAAGGAAATCAAAACAACGTTTATTGTTTATAAGTAATGATTTCATGTTCAATTTAGCAAATAAAAATAATAAAAAAATGCGTACTAGAAAATTATTGCTTTTTATTTATTTTAAAAGTATAATTAATTATTAAATGTGTTAAATCAATTTGATTATTATTGGAAATTAAAATATGTTTCCTTGCAACATCTTGATGTCATCGATATGTCAAAACATTATTGTTTATTACGGTTACGCTGTTTCGTGAAAAACTTCACATAATTTATTGAAATAATTTGTGTTGTGAGTCATGGTGGGAGATTCAGATGCGGAGTCACACGTGCAGCAGGCTCCGCGTGCTCCAAATATTGCTAAGTATGCACTTTTTTGAATTCACTTTTTTGATATGATTTTTACTTCTCTTCTATTAGAATATATTACTAACGTAATGCTAATTATTATTTTAGTATGCATTGGCAATACGGCTCCCAATACTCAAAATGAGGTGCAGTCAAGAAGGAAGAGAAGTTAGTACAATCTTCATGTTTATTGTTTATACTGCGATGAATATTATAAATATTTATAATGATAAATATTTTTATACTGTTTTTTAGATCTCAATTCTCGCCGAAGTGTTGCAGAGCAACACGATTAAACTCAATTTCTCGCCATTGGAGAGTCAAATGCGGAATCAATGAAGGTATGTTTACACAATCTTTATTAAATATGATTTTGTTATGTATTTGAAATGAATTAATTAATAATAGATAAACAAAAATACCCAAACACATTATGAATTCAACAAGATTGAATATGAGACTAATACCTATATATGGGTAAAGAGAGTCCCACATTTATATAGTTTTTTTTGTTATAGATGCTGGCAGCTGCATCAAAATTTCAGACAGAGGCTGCAATGAAGCAGGCCGAAGCTTCATTGATTCATGCACAGGCAATGAGTAAAATAAATAAAAGTGAATTAACAACTTATATGGTCGTTTTTAATTTGTACATCTACCTACATAAAATATATTGAAATAAAAAATAATCTTAGGTATAAAAACGTTCGATCAATCTTCTGCTAATTCTATATAGCATAAGAAATTCCGTCTCATCTAAAGCCAAAGGATTTTGGAGACATCGCCTGTTTCTGGCTATTTGCCGTCGCTTCACCATTAGGTGTATCGACGGCGAATAGCCTATGTTCAAGCAATGTCAAATCTAATGCTAAATAGGCTTCAGCCATCACGTTTTAAATATCTTTGACTAAATTTCCGATATATATACCTCGAAATACCGTAAAATATCGAAAAAAATATTATTAGCGATCGCAAAAGGCACTTATCGAGCTGTCAAATTTGGTCGCTAAGGAGCTAGCGAAATTCGTTAATTTGACAGTTGAACTCGCTACGCCACCGACAAACATCGACAACTTTAAATGTAGAGACTTGCAATATTCGTTAAATTACGATCGCTATGAGTTAGCGACCGAATTCGGTGACATTGCGTTCGCAAACTGTGTCAAGACTACCACCCCAGGGCCCCTATGTTAATGACATCTTACCTACTACAAATTTTCAACATCATCATCATCAGCCCTTTTACGTCACCACAGCAGGGGCTTAGGCCTTCCTTATTGAAAGCTAAGAAGGACGAGCCATGACCCTCCGGCTACGCTGGCTCAATGAGGATTGGAGGGTATTAACGACTGCAAATGTAGCTAGGCTGCTTAACGTGCCTTACAAAGCACGGAGTAGGTTGAGATAACAATTATTTGGTCACCCATCCCGTGACCGACCCTTACAAAAATTTCTTAACAACAACGATTGCGGGTCACGGCCCTCATCCACCACATCACCGAGCTAGTCGAGCTATCCACAAATACTTAAATACAACTTTATTGGTGTTTATAGTCGTTCCTCGTTTCCTGCATCAACACTTACCGCTATATTCAGTTTTTCCATACAGTGTTATTAGGGACAAAGTGTTAGATTCCGCCTCTTGTACTGAAAGCGCCGTATCCTTATCATCACTTTCTAACAGAGGTCTAGAGTGCCTCACTTTCCATGGCACATTATTTTGTACTACAGCTGTTTCTAATTTCTGCGCGTACAACACACTTTCCTGGATGTAGAGCTAAGACGACACGAAAAAAATCTAAATTCAAGATAATTTATTCAGTCTAGGAGGTTACAAGCATTGTGAAAGTCGAAACTCTATGCTATCGGTTCGCAAATCTATGACGGGAAGGCCTTATACCGGGTAGAACCGCCAAGAAACTCAGCAGGAGCTGCTTTTGTCTATCTGTTAATTACAGAGATTTCGAATTTCCGATATATAAGAGATATTAATAAACTGCTAGTATTAATTATAATTCATTTAATATTCAGACAGAACACACTTCAAAATAAAAAAAGAGGTTCTATGATTATCTGTTTTTATTTATATTTTTTTAATACTGATAATAACATATTCATATTATGAAATGTCAGAACAGCAAGCATATCCATACTATAACAACATATTCTAAGTAAATAATTAAAATATCTTTATTCGCTCCAATACAATAGTCGTTTTGAAAAGACATTCCTCCCTGACACTTAATAGAAACACTGATAAGTTTTAAAAAATACGAATTGTGAGACTTGCATGCTCCTACCTACCTGTGTATCGTGCACTCCTATGTAAAGTGAAGGTGGTGTAATAGGTCCACTACCCTCTATGAGCGATTGAGTCGCTTCCCATAATACGTCGATGCTTTGTAACAAACCATCGTGTAATCGCCACATGCCAGCAACGGGGGCGTCCAACTGGTACAAAAAAAAACCCAGAACGTAATCTTTTACTTCATATTACATTTTTAACGTGGCGGCGGAATTGCGTAATCGATCTCTTTGCCTTCATAATATTAATAAGTATTGATAACGTCAACAAACAATCTGAATAAATTATTAGCGCAAATCAGTTAAATTAACAGCCAGATGCACAAATGTCCATTCAAATTTTCATTAATTTAAAGCGACATTACCTATACAAATTTAACATTAATTGGAGCTTAAAGACGTCATTTAACCTAAATGGACGTTTAGTCCATATGGACTACATTGTTTTGTCTTACAATCAAATAATAATTTATTCATCCAACCGACAAACATAATTTACACACAACTTATAAATTAGCATTATATAACATTATAAAAAGCAATGTTAACCTCTAACTCCTAAACTAGGATAAACCCGTATTTTAGGAGTTAGTGATCCCTCATAAAAAGTTTGAAGTATAGATACATACAAATATATTCTAGTAAAGTATACACAAGCTACATATCATTCTATAATTAAATAAATACAAGATGACATCAAATCCGAGATGAACTGTTCAAATCGTATAGTGTACATTAGTTTTATGGCAGCTTTATTGGTTTTAATGGTGTCATTTTGCAAGATAAAAATATATGATGGGAGTGAAATATAATCAAGGAAATTATTCTATGAATTTTGCACGGTATTGTGAACAGGTCACTTCTTTCTCTTCCAAGAAGGGCTTTCTTACATTTTCGACTGTCCAATAAAAACTGCAACAAGGTGAGGCTGTATGAACTAAGATCCCTTCGCCTTAATATATTTTATTCCTAATGAAATCAGATCTGAGGATCGAACTCAGTAATCCAAAGGTGGCTAAAACATTAAAAAAATTGCGAAATATTCTAACCGTTAACATGGGTATTAGTTTTGAATTTACACTACCGCCAAATTTTTTCCTGTTACTAATTTTCAACTATCACCTTTCCAAGTTCCATACCTTCTGTCGCCATAGCAACCTAAAGTCACCAGGTCTCTTCACCGCCACCACTCCTTCTGGCATAGCAACGCCGATAGCTACAGCTGCTTTAGTGGGACCCTTACTACCACCAGCACATTCTCGCCGACTCAGTGCTAAGTGATGTTCTGCCACGCTGAAGTTCCATCTTAAATAAATAACTATAATTAATAACTAGCGAATCCGAAACACAGTACTCCCATAATCCAAATAGAAATTTTAGAAAGAAAGAAAGCAATTTTATAAGTTATAGTGTAACAAAATATATTATAAAGTATTGATGGTGTAAAAATAAACCATTAATTTATTTTACTTAAATTTATTACTTTTATTTTACTATTTGTTAAAAAAAAATGGTTCATAAAGTCAACAGAACACATACTCCGTAGAGTCGGACATGCGAAACGACTACCATACGAAAGGATTACGAAACTCATGTGACAAAGATCACGTGATGTCAGAAGGTGATAGCAGAATTTATGAAGATCGGAAAGCATGTATGATAAACTAAAGGGAAGGGTTGAGAGAGTATGTAGGTACAAAAAGCATTATAGACCTCCATTAGGTTTGCCCAGAATGAAGCCAGAGTGACGATATACACATATAGACTTGATTCATAACAGTTGTGCTAAATGTGTGAAATTACTGTTATGCTCAATGATTCTGGCAGTTATAAGTAACTTTAAAAAGACAGACTTACTTTTCACTACCCGACCTAGGGTCCAGAGCACGTACAGTGTTTGAATGCCTTCTCAACACCAACACGTCTCTGTTGGCACTAGCGGTCTGTTGTTCACTGTTGCAACCGCTGGAACCGCATTCATAAATAATGTTGCCAGAACTGGAGTCCACACCAAGCCATAGCGTTTCACGAGCACCTTATAGAGTAAATAAAATAAAATCTTAGATGCAATCAAGAGCTTATTACCATGGATACTACTCTACGGTTTTGAGCTTAATAGAAGGCATTTCCTCTTTCTTCCTGTCATCTATAGATATAATTTATTTCCTGTATTTTTTATATCGTAGAACCCTTTTACACTTTTGAGATCAAGGTAAATAGTTTCAAAGTAAATATTTTATAATATATATATTTGAGATTGGATTAGTATAATGGATATTTAATTTGGTTTACTTATTTAAAGCGCACAACAGTTTTTGCTTTTTAATTACTAACCCATCTTTAAAAGAGGCCACATGAAAATTATTACAATTAAATAAAGGCAGAACTAGTTTTTGTGTCATGTTGTGCTTTGTGTACAGTACAACATACATAATGCTTTTGTCGCGCCTCAACATAACACTACACAAATATTCTGCCTTAGGGCTTTGTTTCATTAGCTTTTTATTAACATAGGTGGGATTAAACAAATATGGTAAAAAAAACACCTTAAGCTGCTAAGATAAAGTGATTTATATACGATTGTGTCTAATTATCAATAAGATTTCTGCAAATCTAGTTTAGTTTTATAAATAGGTACTTCTAGATAATCATACATCAAGTTAATCCTCTAAGATAACAAAGTAGTATTGAAAAAATACCTGCTATAACTAAATCTTCAGAATACTTAAAAGACGCTGAAAGCAGCTGTTCCGCGTCGAAGGGTAATGGCTCGATCGTTTCCCCGCTAAGGCTGTATAGAGTGCCACGTAGGGACGGCACTAGTCGCACCCATTTTCCACCAGATGTCAACTACATTAAAACATAAAGAGAAAAGTGTTACAACATATTAAAACATCACACTCTATCTATATTCCGGTCACCGAACAGAGAGAATTACGTACGTTGACCTTTGTGCAGACCCATATAAATCATAAACATTATAGATTTACTTTACTATGAGATGCACCAGGCATTGTACGAAATTCTCTCAGTTCAGAGACTGTTCCGCGTGTTATAAATTATTTTATATTTTATTTTGACTATTTATTAATGACACAGTGAAGTATAGTCTAGTCTCTGAACTGAGTGAAACAAAAACAATGGTAAATTAATATTTACCATTGTTTTTATTTTTGCATAATTCCAATCACTAAAAAAAATCTCTTAAGCTCACCTCAACATGATGTAAATTAGAGGATAGTAATGGTTGTGTTTCTAAAGCCCAGGCTTTTATGCCATTATCTGTTGAAAATGCAGTTAACTTTCCATCCAAAGTGCTGACGAGGACTAAGCTGAAAATAAAGTTGAGGAAAGGCAAAAAAAATTAATCATTAATTAAATTGAACTTTATTGAACATATCAAACATATAATATTATGATATCTATGATGTACAAAAGGCAAATGGTACAAAATTCACTTATTATACATAGCACATCAGGTCAGTACATAATACATGGAGAGCTTGTGACAAAAACATGCAAGAGCTTTCGGAAGCTTAATATTTCAGTATGTTGAAGTACTTAGGATATAAATCACTGAGTAATCAGTGCCGAGGTCAGGTACTGGAATAATTGATGGTGGTGACACAAAACAAACTTAGTGATTGCAGATTGTTCCATTAAATAAAAGTCTGATTATTTTTTTTAGGAATTAATATTTCGAAAACAATAGCTCCTTTTTTCACTACCTCTTAAACTATAATGTCTTTAGCCAATTCATTTTAAGTTTTAATATTTTAAAAATATATGTTAAAATTAATTGCATTTAGCCATTTGTACCAACTAGAATTACTAAAGCCCAATTTCTTTCAGGCAACAAAGTAACTCATTAAGGTTAAATTGAATTGCAATTATATGATGATAATATTTACAGGTTTGTTTGTTCAATGAATAATTCACCCAAATATCTAGCTGAGATTATTAAATATCAATACACGTAGTAGACTTATAATCCAAAGAAATGTATACCTCAAACATATAAAAATTATACCCCCTCTCTTCCTCTTCACCAGCATTATTAATACAATATTCAATATATTATAATCTTACTTTATTGCATTTCTTAAAAAGTATTTTTATAACACAACAAGCAAAAGAAATTATGCAATAGCTATAAATATAACAGAATATAAATCATTATATTATTTTATAATTTGAAACTTTTATAATGCTCCTATTCATTAAAGAAGGTGGAGGAGTAAGGAATTCAGTAGTAAAAGTTATAGAATACTCTAGAGATTTAAGGATCAATCTCTTCTGTTCTTCTGGAGACATAATTAAGATAATGGTTGGTGCAATGCACATTTGTTGTTTTCTATGGAGTCCAACTTAGGGGCTATTCATAAATTACATCACACAAAAACAATGAATTTTGTGTAACATAATTTATGGATGGCCCCTTATGTGTGATAGTTTTCCTTTTAATTTCTTTATGTATAGGTACTACTGCCATAACTTTTAAATTTTTAGGATCAACCATTTAATTGGTAGGGTCAGAGACACTCAGCTCTAACGAGACTTAGCTCTTTAAAGCTTAATGACTCACAAACAGTTAACTAAATCAAAAAACAGCCTTCCCAATACTAATGTTTTTGATCCAACTATCCAATGCTGCCCTACACTAGATGGAAGACGAAAAATAAAATTACCATCCCCACTTTATATATGAGAGCTAGAACTCTTAATTTTTGAGCTACGCCGTGGATGGACAAACAGACTTTAAAAAAGAATAAAGTAACATTATACTTTTTACAACCACACAAATCTATCCAGCCCAACAGTTTTAAAGTATGGAACACATTATGTTACAGAAAAACACTGGATGCTATTTTTAAATTATCCAGAACATAAAAAAACCAGAATGTGTCTTGGGAAATTAGCAACTCTAAACCATTGGTCCTTGCAGTCATTTACATTCACTAATCTGTACTGCACTTTGAGATTTATGGCCCCATATTTTTCAAGTGTTGAAAGGTTTATTGTTATTAGTAATATGAGACATTTTTCTGGTGATATGTAAATAAAATTACTAAAAATATATACATATGTTTTTTATTTCAGCTACAAATATAGCAGCTATATATTATTTTAATAGATACGAAACAAGGATATTACAAAGATAAATAAATGAAGAAAAGAGCAGGAGAGTCTTGTTATCACAACCAAGTTTGAACTTGTTTCAACATGACTCATCATGTGACCTTGACAGAAGTGTGTAAAAAATCAATGAAATACATATTTACTTTTCTTAAATAGAAGAAAATAAATTAAAATTGTACGCTAAAGCCCAACAGATATGCACTTTGAAATAAACTACTGTTATTATGAACATTTTTTATTGAATTGGATTTATATTAAAATAAACTCACTCATTAGTGACGGGAACACCGTTTATGTTATTATGGGGATTACAGAAGGGCAGTTTCTGTACATTATCTTCTTCGGCTCTTAGATAAGATGCAAAACATGTTAACATGAAAGCCGCCTTTATAGCTATGACTTTCCAATACCAGTCCGACATTTTACTATTATATATCTTGATCTGGGCATCTCAAGCCTTAAATTCGGAAAGTTTGTTTATTCTTACGAAACTTTTGAAGTGGTTACGGATAAAAAAAAACAACCACAGACCTCTTAAACCACGTCAGATGTAAAACTTAAGAAGATACTGTCAAATTGACACTTAGCTTAACATTTTTTATTTATTTTTATTTTTTTTCAATTATTCGTTCCTTTCGGAACAGGCTAAGATCATAGACCATACTGCCTCGTCATTGGTTGAATTATATTTCTAAGTATTGAAAAATGGCGTTAAAAGTCTTCAGTTTATAAAAATGATATTAAACTTCTTCAGTATAAAAAGAAAATTACAATAAAAGTGCGTTTCAAAAAATTTCAATGACCCATTGAATTATTCTTTGACTTACAACAGTTCTCTTTGACTTACAACATCAACAAACAGTAGTTACTTCCCGTTTCATATTGACATCAACCAAATAATACCTATGCATTCATAAGAAAATCTAAATAGGATAAAAAAGAAGAAAAAAGTGACTAAATACAACAAAGACACGTAAAAATTACCCTAAAGCTATGTACACTTATATTTGCCCAATTGTGCTATCTACAAATTTAAACAAAGGAAGAAATGTGGGGGTATTTATAAGCGGTACCCGTTCCGGACTTTTATAAATCTCAATCAGCTCATCCATTAGCACAAGATGCTGAATGCCAAAGGATGGGCATTCAAAGAATATGTGGTCCAAAGACTGCTCTGTTTGAGTGTCACAAAAATCGCAAAAGGAATTTTGTACTATATTTAGACGATAAAGATGGTATTTTAGACTACAGTGACCGAAACGAAGCCTCAGGATAGTTGTATAAAATTTCCTATTAAAGTAAGTGTTACTTTTGCAGAACCAAGGTGTAGAATTTACAGGAACATTAACATTTATTATTATTGTTTAACATTTGTCGAAGGGTCTATCTAGGCCATACATCCAAACTAAAATTAGCAATTATACTCGTATCGAAGTGACAAAAAGTCCTAAACAAATATTAAGCATATATTTTTAACCAAACGACGAGATTTTGGACGAGTATTGCAAACTTTACATCACAATATTTGCAACATTTGTGCTACAAGTAAAGAAATAAATTATTCAACGGTGAATTTTATTAATCCATTTCGTCTTACATTGTGGTTACTTAGAAAGACAATTGATAGAAAAAGTTGGTGAATAAACCACCATAGAATGCAACCTTCGATAAACAATACAACTATCGGTCAGTCACAAAGATGGCCGAAGACATAACGCCTCACTTCAAAGTGCGGTCTTATCATGATTTAGTTGATTGCAACGATACCAACGTTTGTACATATGTATTACGTAATCACACTGCGTATTAAAACTGCAAATATAACTATCGGAATAAAAATGTATCTGTTGGAATATCATATTTAAAAGTTGTAAATGTGATTTTCCAATATCTACAATTAATTATCAAAGTATTTTCAATAAAATAACAGAACTTTGTTTCTGACCAAAGCCACGCGCCACCATCGCATTCATTCAAAAACAGAAGGTCAAATATTATTCTAAGACAGCGCATACATGGAGTAGTATACTATTACAATTTTTTTTACCAATGTAAAATAATGAGGAAATTTAAAAAAAAACGAAAGCACTAAAAAAGCACCTCCACTAGATGGCGACTCTAGCAAAAGTTCACTTTTGCAGGAAACGAATGGACCACGGTCAGTCATTTCCGTTCCTATTAACTAACATATCGACGCTTAAGAACCAAGACCATCTATCTACAAAAAGTCGATTTTACAGGAGACGAAAAAACGTTGCATATTTTTTCTACAACAATTTTTTTTATTTTTATATCTGATCAATTAATGGATAGGCATAGGAAATAAGGTGTTTGCATATGTTTCAAGAAATCTTCATTAGTTTCAAAATTACTGTAGATAGCTGGTATTAGTTAAAATATTTGCGTATGTTTATGCAGCTAACTGTAATATAGATGATGAAAGGAAATAATATAGTTCCAGCGCCTGACCTCCGCACAATGTATGCTCTTAGTACCTTCTTTAACATACTGCAATGTCGAGGCTTAAAAAGCCCTTGCAAATTTTATTCACAAGCTCTCCGTCTATATTAGTTAGGCACCTAAGGTAAGAATGTACTGTAAAAACTTGTACCAATAACTTAGGAAGTGTTTTAGTTACGCGGTACACACTCACGCCGAGAAGACTCGCCGGACCTTGAAGTGAAATAGTTGCACCGTTTACACTCACGGTGAGTTCTCAATAGATCTCTCCGTTCTCGGATATGGATGACTTTACTAGTAAAGGCGCTTTGGTATACATGCACTAGCATTGTGACTGAAAAATTGAAAAATGAGGCCCAGATGAGAGTGGATGGTACAAATTAATCCAAATAGAAAAAGGTCGTTTAATATACAATGAACACACTAATAATTAAATATTTAAACCCACGGCGCTCTGTACCTCATATGTTCATAAGTTTTGAGACAAACTTTTCGATGGAGGGAACGAAACCATTACGTGCAACTGTCATTTCGATAAAAAAACCGCTGCAGATTTTCCGCGAGCTGAAAAGTTTTCCTGTAAGCCGTAACTTCGTCTACCACACAATACAGCGGTACAAAGAGACAAGTTCACTGCAAAATCGCCAGAGAAGTGGTCGGCCACGCTCTGTCAGGACGCCTGCGAACATCAAAATCATCCGAGAGCGACTTCGCCGAAATCCATGTCGCTCGCTCTACAGACTAATATTTCGCGCGTTTCAGTGAACAGATTACTGAAATATGATTTTAAGGTAAAGGCCTATAGCCTTAGAAAAAATCAATTTTAAAACGATCGTCTTCGTAAGTTACGACGCGAACGTTGTCCATTGCTGTTGAGGAGACGTGATGCCACGAACTCTTCACCGATGAGAAAATATTTACTGGCAAAGAAAAGTTTAACCAACAAAACAAATGGACGCTAAAAGTAGCAAGGATGTCCCAGCTTCTGCACGGAATTGAAATTGAAATTCATTTATTCTAGAACAGACACAAAACACAGTTCATGTAAAAAAAATGATAATACACAATACTAGACAATAAAATATAATAAAATATGTGTGTGTGTGTGTGAGCGCGTGCGTGTGCGTGTGTTTTTTATTTATTAAAATATGCATTAATGAATGAAATTGAGAATTGAAAACATTACATATCTATAATAATTACTAATTAAATTGAAGACCTAAAAATAAACCACAATGCAATTCAATTTGATTTAAGGGCACCTATGACCATTGACTAGAATAGTTCACATTCAAATGGAAGAGAAAAAGCCACACCACAACATTCAGCCTACATCACACAATATCCTACAGATGTTATAAATGCGAAAGTTTATGTATTAACGTTTGAAAGAAACCTATATACGATATAAGAAATATCCATGTTGATATTACCCAGTCCTTGCTGCGCATTCATTAAATATCTACGCGAGTGGTTTTTAAAAGTAAGCAAAGTATCACAATATGCACAAAGGCAGAGGAATGTTGTTCCAAATTTTGGTAACTGCATATCGGAAACTTCCTCTGAAGGAATCTCTCGCGCACTCCTTCATACGAAATTGGAAATTGAATTGAAAAGGTGTCACTCTGCTCCATTTCTGGCAAAAAGATGTCGAGGTGAAAGCCAAGAATTATCAGAGTGACATTTTAGAGCCTCTGGTGAAACCCCTGTCTGATACGAGATAGTACTGATAATAAGGATTAGGTCTAGCAAGACTCGGCGCCATCCCATAAGGCAAAAAGCACCCAAACTTGGTTGAGGGAGAGTGTGCCAGCCTTCATCTCGGCGGACGAGTGGCATCTCTTAAAGCGAGCAAAAAATCGACAACAAACAGAGAAGATGCGAACCCGAGAACGAGAAGGCGAGAAACTTATCACATTCTCGTGTCTCGGGTGTTGGGACTTCTCGGCGTGAGTCTGTAGGGCCTATGTATGGGGCCTATTATGTTGTAACGCATAACAGTTCATTTTGCAACTCGCAATAAGAACGAATAATTACGTGTTATGTAGATAGGTGGTTTTTCCATACAATTATTACGACACGTAACTAAGGTGGTATTGGTATTTTCTCATAATTCCTTATATATTGCGAATTTGAAATAATCGATTAAAGGAAACGATGCGTAAATTAACCATGAAAAGAACTGCATTAAAAAGTCAAAATCGCCAAAAGTGTAGATAGATGGTCTTGGTTCTTAAGCGTCGATATTAAAAAACTGAAATTAGATATCATTACAAATACAATAAAGTACAAATAGAATATGAGTTGTTTATTGAGTTTTGAAAACCAATCTACTTTTAAACATGAAAAAAATCCGAAAAGATTGTCTTGGAGAAATCAAGAACGTACGTGGGGACATCTAGTTAGATTTCGGGAACTAATGTTTTTTTTAAATACTTCCTCATTGAAAATTACAAAGCCGAACGTGCATGGACATATAGGTTTGTATTGATCTAGGTATTTTACGAGGGTCAAACTGAAAGTTCTTAGAACTGGCCACTTATAAACAATATAATAAAAAAATAATTCTAAAATTTGAAAATATAACTCTTTGCCAATATTACTGAGTATATATTTCATTCATTTGTCATTTGTTTTACGATTTGGCGGCAAATTGAAAATTGTCTGTGTCACGTCATCATGAATTTAACACGAGAAAATTTTCGTGCAATGATTTTTTATGACTTTCGATGTCATTTAAGTCAACAAGAAAGTTATGATAGACTACGATTGGCCTTTCACGATGAAGCCCCATCTCGTGCGACTGTTTACAACTGGTTTAATGAGTTTAAACGTGGTCGCACTAATCTCACTGATGATTTACGTGAGGGACGGCCTTCTACGGCGACGACTGAAGATAACATCTGTGTTGTGCGGCGTATGATAGAGACTGACAAAAGAGTGACCTATCAACAGATTCGGACAAGCTTAGGCATCGGTATGAGTCAAGTGCACAAAATCCTCCACGAACATTTAGCGGTCAGGAAGCTTTGCGCCCGGTGGATACCTCATAATTTGACTGAGGCTCAAAAACTCCATCGTGTGGATTGGTGTCGTAAAATGATTGAAAGATTTAACGGAGGTGACTCAAATGCTGTGTTCGACATACTAACAGGTGACGAAAGCTGGATTTACTGTTATGATCCTAAAACCAAAAGACAATCTGCTCAGTGGGTGTTTCCTTTCGAGGAGTTGCCAACTAAAGTGAAGAGAGATCGAAGTGCGGGAAAAAAAATGGTGGCCTCGTTCTTTGGAAGGATAGGTCATTTTGCAACAATTGTGTTAGAGGATCAAAAAACAGTTTCTGCAGAATGGTACACTACCAATTGTTTGCCACTTGTCTTGGAAAAAGTTCGAGAGAAACGACCTCGCAGTAGGATCCTCCTTCACCACGACAACGCCTCGTCGCACACCGCCAAGCGAACGATCGACTATTTGGCGACATCAAACGTTGAATTACTGGGTCACCCGCCGTATAGCCCCGACCTCGCGCCTTGTGATTTTTATTTATTTCCAAAAATTAAAGAAAAACTTAAAGGAAAGCGGTTTATGAATGCTGAAGAAGCGGTGGCTGCGTATCGCGATGCCATTGAAGAGACCCCTAAGGACGAGTGGGCAAAGTGCTTTTCCCAGTGGTTCCATCGCATGCAGCGGTGTATTGACGTGAATGGACAATATTTTGAAAAGATATAATAAAACTAATAACTGGCTAATGTAATCAGTTTTTGATTTTCTAAGAACTTTCAGTTTGACCCTCGTATATGTATTTTGAGGACCTATTTACAACAAAACTATTTAAAGCTAAAGATGCGTTTCCTGAAAATGACTTAAATCGTAGATTTAATTTTAATTGTTTTTAATAGAGACGAAGGTTAGAATATACCACCGATTTCGGATCCAATAATGAGGAAGTATTTAAAAAAAACGAAAGCACTAAAAAAAGCACCTGCACTAGATGGCGACTCTAGCAAAAGTTGATTTTTTCAGGAAATGAATGGACTAAAGAAAGTCATTTCCGTTCCTTTTTACTAACATATTAAAAACAGAAATTTGAAAAGTTATAAATTTGAATATCAATACAAATACGAAAATGTACAAATAGGATATGAGTTGTTTATTGAGTTTGGAAAACTAATTTACTTTTGAACATGAAAGAAAACCGGAAGGGTTGTCATGGAGAAATCAAGAACGTACCGTAGCGATATCTAGTTTGATTTCGGCAACTAATTTTTTTTTTTAATTCTTCCTCATTAGTCAAATAAAATATCAACACCGATCACATACTACAAAACTTGACGTAACAGTTACAATCCTTTTGTAAACATTAAAATTATAGAGAGGTGTCACTTTCTTATCGCAGTTTGTTTCGTTCTTTGGTAGATAGATAGTATCGATAGTATCTCTAAATTATGATAGTACTAAAAGTTTATTTGCCTTCTTAAGATTGTTACGTGAAATTTAAATTATGTGTGCAAAGATAATAGATTATCTAATTGTACTCATATTTAAATTGAAAACCTAACTGCATAAATTATTGACGTGTACACGTAAGTTTTACTAAGAAAAATAAAATTGGCAGTGACAATGAGTGACCGACTAAGTACCGATATGCATACTTTACGATACTATTTGTTACACGATTCTAAAGTATCAATGCCAAAAATACTTAGATCGAAAGGAAAGTATCGAGTACTTGTATTTACTCGTATCGTTCAACCCTATTTATGCGTGAATCTATGCAAGCAACAAAACTAGCAACATTTATTCAGAACTGTCAATAATATTTTTGTCGTGCTTGGTTCCGATTTTCCAGATTGCATTTCGCATTTTGTAATCACTTGAAATAGAAGTGTCTCCAGCTGTATAAAGATTGAAGGAATAAAAATCAAATCTACCTACAATACTTTTTTAATCAGCAACGGTTATCCAACTTCAAACTCAACATGACTTTGGGAACTTACAACAGACATCAAGCTGAAAGGAAAAAGTAAGTTTTAGGGTTTTGTTTCCGTTGACTAGTTATGTTGCTATTTTTCAATTTATCATTTTTTTTCTGTTTTTAAGGCAAGCCGCTTTAGCAGCTGCTTTCCCTCAAGGAATTCGCTGCCAAAAGTGTCTAGAATATGGCCATTGGAGCTATGAATGCAAAGGAAAGCGTAAGATCTTAGTACATCCTTCACGTACTCAAGTCCTCAAGAAGAATCTAAAAGCTAAAGAAGAAGGACAATGCAGGTTAGCATCCCATTTATTTTAATGGTTGACTATCTTCGTAACCTTGCTAAATAGTTTCTAATTTCTTCATAAATTGTCTAGCCAATTAAGGTTAACTAAATTGATAGTGAAGAATTTTATTTTCAATACTTTTATAGTGTTTTTAATAAACATTAAGCATTGGAGTAAATGCCAAAATATGCCAAAATGCAATTTTAGTATTAGTCCAAATTTTTACTTCACAAAGAATAAGCAAACTACCTATGTTCTAGGAGTAAATATTACTCCTGTAGAACCTTGTGCTAGGTTAACCTTTACTAAGTCTGTTTAATAATGTGAATTTTGACTAATAATAAGTGCAGTCTCTGCATTAATTTACTCCAATGCTATAAACCTTCTTTATTAATAACATTGTAACAGTTAACAGTGCTAAAATATAATTGATATTATTAGTACACAGTTGTATAAAATTGATCACTTAATATTTTATAGGGTAGATTATAATTTTTATATCAGTTTTAAATTGTCTAAACAAGTGATTGGGTTATATACATTACATAGTAAATAAATAAATTATCTGCCCTTAGGGGTAATAATTATTCTTAGATATTCCTATTTTATTGACTTGCAAACGAGAGGACTGTTAAATTCAGTTTGCATAAGCATTTGATCCTACCCTTTATATTTCTATCTAAATAATTGTTTGAAATTGTTTCACAGCAATGGTTCTTGTAAGATTCCAAACAAGAAAAAACGAACTGGCTCAGACTGTTCAGATTGCTCAGACAAAGGCTCCTCCTCTGACAGCTCATCAGAATCTTCTTCCGACAGTTCTGGTTCATCCAGCGACAGCAGCGACTCAGAAAGTGACAGTGAGAGCAGCAGCGAATCTGGTTCTTGTAGCGACTGTTAAATGTTGCAAAATATGATAAGGATTATTTTATGCTTTAACCAGGATTACTGTCTTGTTTTTCTTAAAGTATTTTTTTTTCTTAATTATAAAACTTCTAAGAATTTTGTGCCCTTGTAAAATACTAAGCTCAAGTTTATTCACATTTAATACATGTTTGAATTCAGAATTTATTGACATACAGTAATCCTGTTTTAATAGCATGTAGATTTAAGCAATTATCTGAAATTTGTAGTTTTTTGTTATGCTGTGCATTCACAACGCACTGTGGCTAGCTCTACTCAAGAAAAACATGAATTATTTTTATATTTTTAGAGTTCTCAGGTTTGAAATGCTGGACATTTTAGGTAATTGTGCATTACAATGTGAAAGAATAACATGGTGCTGCATAATTATATTTTGGAATGCACCTTATACCTGGAAACGATTTTATTTGAATACTTACTACTTGATGTGAAATTTCTGAATGTGATTGTATTATGTTACCTGATTGCTAATAAACAATGAAATTGTGAAATTAATGATTTAAATTGTATCTAGTTTTTAGTACTATGTAAAATTGTTGAAAAAATTCTTAACTTGTTTATTGGTAAGAGGGTAATTTTATAATTATAATTTTAGCATTTAAGTTTGATAGGAATTTCTTATAAATTAACTACTGTAACTTAATATTTGAAAGTGATTTTAATATAGTTTATTATTGATCACATTATTGACATTAAATGTTAGACTATTATTTTATGCTTTGTAAAAACATGCTGTTCATGTCATTGTCTTAGATTTTACTAGAAGTTAGATATATGTCTTTAGTTTGTAGACTTTGTGTAACACATTTATAAAAAGACTGTATAATGAAAAAACTTGAGTCTTTACAATTGAAAATATATAAATATTCTTCAGATCGTTTTATTAGTAAAAATGTCATAACTTACATGAATTTTGATAAAAAATGAATACAATTTTGATGGAATTTATAAAGAGTTTTATTACACTTAACAATTATTAGAAAAGAGCAATTAACACATATTTAACAATGATTTTTAATAATATAGGTACCTTTAACAATTATGTACCTAAGTAGGCAAATATACCCAACATAATTATACCTTAATAGGCAGTACATTAATGTTCCTGAAATAAAGGCGGATTATATGTGACTCCTTTGACAGCTCATCAGAATCTTCTTCCGAACAATCCCTATGGTGATAACACTATTTTTGTACTCTAAAAAAGAAGGCACATGACACATTATAACTAATTTATTTTCACATAAAAGTTGATTTTAAACATTGCTCTACATTAGATCATTCTCATTAATTGAAAAACAGGTGGGCAGCCACTTACGCGAGTAGTAATTTTACCTTTTTAGTTGGGGATATGCAAGTACATATTTTACAAAGTGAATATAACCAAAGGTTACTCTAGTTGTTTAAACAACTATTACTAATGAGATTCCAATTATGCACAAATTCAAAGGTTTCTATTGGTGGTTTTTTGCAATTGTTTAAAAAATATTAATATTCATTTCAGTGATCACGACCGTACAACCCAACCTTAAATTACTACGAAAATCTTACAAAAATAAATCTCATTTGTTATCATATCAATTAAAAATATTGATTTCCTATTACGTTGCTGCAGGAGCATCAGGCAATGTGTGTACGATAACTTTTCTTTTCTGATCGTATGTGAAACCATTGATCTTAAATATTCTGCTGTCATAGAATGGTTTGAGATCCGAAATGTTTATTTGGCGTGCCCTTTCGATAAGATCACGTTCTGATATTTCTATAGTGGACTGAGAATGGTTATGCAAACCCCTCATATACGCTAACTGATCCATTGTGAGTTGTCGCAGGATATAGTAGAGCAGTTCACTGTGGTCTTTCTTGTAGGAAAGGTACTTTTGGAATGTCTGGAAAAGAAGAATTTATACTATTTCTTATTAAAAATACACAAATGTTTATAATGTATGAGGTGTGCCACTGTTTCATTTGAACATCGAGTTTATTTGATTCAATTGAGATGTATTGAACATACTGCATGAAACAGTGCATAGTAATAGAATCCAATATCAAAGAAATTAATGAACTATAGTTACACAATAGACCCTTTCAGTCATCCAGGCACATAGAACCGTACTAACGGGCCTGTTTTTTTCAGTCTCATTGTAATGTGTAAAATTATTAAGACGTGTGAAGATCGTTCTTTTTTTATTCCTCCTAGATTTTAATCTGAAAATGATGATAATGTTGTCTATGAACCGACCTGTCTCATGGAGCGCATAACACTGTACTTCTGAGTGTCGACGAAGCTCTCGAGCATGGTGCGAATGGCGAGATTCACGTCCTGTTCAGATACTTGGGCACGCAAATGCATACGAGCTTGCGCTTCGCTCATACGGATCACTGCACAATACAAATATTCACATTATTCATTCTGTTTAGTATAAAACAAATACAATTATAAAATTCAAACAAATATTATTTTCACAGGTTGAAAACAAAATTCAGAGCACTCCATATGGAAGAGAATGTGTAGGCGATACATTTTATAATGGAATTGTAATTATGTAAATAAGACACAGGCATTCCCTTTGGACGGAATCACATAGAGCTATAATATAACACGCGGATCTAGTGCGGATTGGTTGGTGGGCATTAACGACTGCAGATGCAGCCAGGACCAATGGCTTAACGTGCCTCGTGCTACTGCGCCATGGAGCTATACTTATATTATGAAAATCTGAAACAACGAAGGCACCAAAAGACAGTATAAAAAGTTTACTTTTCTATGTAGACCCGATCCGGGACATCAGGTGTTGCGATATTTTGTGAGCTATTTGGCTGGTCTACAGAATATACTAATAGATGATGATTAATTTATCCACACTAACCAGACTCAATATGTCGCACAGTAATGGGTAAGCTGCCTGTAGCGAGGGACTCCTGTCTTAGTTGACTGTACATTTTCGCCACTTTATCTTGATCCATGTTCTGTAGAAAAGATCATAAAAATAATTCATACAGGATTTTTTTTTGCACTTTTGTTAATTAAGGTAATTTCAATTTTTGTATATGAAAGATGTCTAACAAATATTCTGGCGTCCTCTCAACATCTTGTGGTTTAAAATTATAAAAATCCTACAAAAAGGACCATAGTATAATAAAAATACATAGAATTTTCTACTTATAATAAGTTAATTGCTTTAAAATTAATACATACAGGTTGAATAATATAATATAATCGAAATAATAATAATAAACAAATATTTTTTTAATTCTGTTAACAATAGAAAGCTTATATTGAAATGTCTATAATGTCACTATAGTTTACTATAACTATATAATATTGTTTATTCCAATGAACTTATTAAAAGCACTTTCAATCAGGGTTCGTAATTATTGTGATAATTATTTTTTTGGATAATTATCCGATTAATATCTGATAACTATCCAAAGTTACTGGTAACCATTTTTTAGATACAGAAAGGCACATTCATAAGTGATATACATAACTTTTATTTGTTATTTTAAATTATATAAACAAAAAAAGAAATTACTGTGATATCACATTTAACAAAAAGTGGGGCTTTTAATATTTTCTGTTTTGTAGGTTCATCCTAGGCAATTTTTATAATTGTTTAAAGATGATACCCCTTTAATAACAAGTTCTCAATTAAAAAACAGTTTGTGTAGTGTCTTATTCGCTAGGTGCACGATGGTAGCGTCAACTAGCGGTTACAATTATGTCGGACATTGAAATGTCAAATGGTTGGTATTTAGTACGAATAGTAAGTAAACAAACAATAATTTTATTGAAATAGCGTAATTAAATTAACTGAGATTTTATTCGATTATGTAAACCTAAGGTGTCGTTAATACTGTTGATCTTTTTTTTATTTTCAGTCTAAAAGCCACAATCAATTATGGAATAGAAAAGTCATACTACGAGTACACAATTATCTACAACATTAACAATAAAATTTCAAATTGTAACTATAATCACTACTTCTCGAAGGCTACAGATATTCACTATATAATAATAATTATAAATTGTCCTTAAAACTATTTCATCTTGCTTGATTATATATACCTATAACATTGACATTAAAATTTGATTATTCAAATTATTCAAACTAGATTTCATACAAAATTTGGCACAAAAAATATATTTTAGATACAATAAAAAAAAGTAAATTAATGTGAAAAATTCTTTAAAATGACACTTTTACGTAACTGATAAATATAAAAATATGTAATTTATATCATGAACATGAGCGCATACTTTTTTATGTACTTATACTCCTATTTGGTGAAGCTTAGTAATTTTATTCTTATTTCCAACTCACTCGAGGAAATCTATAAATTTTTTTATCACTATTTTTGCCATTGTTCTTGCGGCCAACTACACAGCAGGTATCGTGACGCATTTTATTAATTTTTGCTTAAAATGCACAAATATGTAAATTTCTTAAGTAAAAAGTGACATTTCGTCCGACAGAGGTTCCGTTTTAGCCACGGTGCGCGCTGCGATCGATTCGTGTTCTCCCACCTCCTACCTCGCACCCAGCGAATAATTATCAATCATAATTATCCCTCTTAACCCTGCTTTCAATACTACTAATCAAACTTTCGATGTCGTTCAACTGACAAAAAGAATTTGCAGATGAAATTTATCTAAAAATAATATTCTCCACTTTATATACTGACATCAATAAATATTTAAGTCTAATTCTACTAGAATTTGGTTTGCTCATCATAACTATTATAAGTATATTCGTTCTTTATTCATTATTTGCTAAACGTAGCAGCAATATTTACAAAGTGATCTTACCTGAAGTTTCGGATGCACATTTTCCCTCGCATAAACAATGTATTTCTTTAGTAAATCTTGTGGTAATATGAAATCTGGATCTGGACCTTCTGCGTCATCTATTGTGGTGCCACGTTGAGTTGGATGATGACGTATGTGGGAACTCACCACAAATCTAAAACACATTGGTAACATATATTTTATTTTACTGTGATCATAACTCTTTTTTCGTGGATATTCTGTGTATAAATTTAAGCTAAAAGTATTAGATAGTGTAGAATTCACAACTAAAGGTTACACATTGTCTCATACACCCGCTTTCTGAATTGAGAATGAAAAGTTAAGCATGTCTCAAACCATCTTAAACATCACTTAAAGAGGTTTTCGTTTCTGATTTAAAATATTTCAACTATCAGTTAATAGCAGCTTGATAAATAAGAACTTTTTGCCATGTGTAATGTAATTGAGAGTGAGTTATTTAGAATAATCAGTTGAGATTTTGTACTTTTCTCAAAGCAGAAACCAGTTGATAGTCTCTCATCAAAATGAATAGTTACACTCATATCTATAGACAAGAGAAGTTATTACTTAGAAAATTTTTAACCAACTTTTTAACCAACCGAGAAATTAAATGAAATGAGAACTGTTTAATAGCTAATAGTATAAGTATTCTTACTATGTATTAAACAGTTGTTACTTCATTCAAATTCTTGTTATTTGTTAAAAATAGTTGCTATATTAATTTCTTTTACTTGACTATAAATACGGGTGTTAATCTAAGCTATTAAGTTTTATGATACTTTAATCAAAGTCATCGCTTGAATCTGGCTCACAAACTTACTTCGCCAAATGTGCATCTTGCATAGGATCTGCTTCATCTCTCACTACACATAGTACGTCGAAACGTGACAGTATAGGCTCCGACAGGTTTACGTTCTCAGAAAACGTAAGCGATGCATCATATCGCCCTCCTATTGGATTAGCGGCCGCTATTATTGAACATCTGTTAACAAATTAAGGAGGATCTGTCTTAAAATTTTTTTCCAAAATGAATAAATAAATAAAAAATAAAAATACGACATATACAATGGTACTCTACATGCTACAAAAATGCTGCATAACTAACCTGGCATGCAGCGATGTAACGATACCAGCTTTAGATATTGAAATAGATTGTTGCTCCATCGCCTCGTGAATAGAAGTACGATCCTGATCGTTCATCTTATCAAACTCATCTATTAAACACACGCCACGATCCGCGAGCACCAACGCGCCCGCTTCTAGAGTCCAATCCCTGGGGATAAGATTCAAAATTTAAATGAAAACTTTCCTCTTTATAATCTAATAGCTTTCCGCCAGCGGCTTCGCCCGCGTGGCCCAATGGTACCAGGTAATGGCTCCAATTTTAATCATTCTAAGACCAAATATTATCTACATAAACTGTACTTAGTGATGAAATAATTTATTTTGATAAGCATTAATAGCATGAGTAAAATAAACGCGTTTAAATGTAGCCCAAAAAAAAAAGAATGGTTGTTGTGCCTCACTCGACATAGATAGGTATAGTGTGTCGCGGACTTTTTTGTAGATATTCATAAGATGTTCAATTATTGAGACCATTTTATGGTTCTATCTATTATAATTTAGGCAGCGTACGCAAAATAAGTATCTTTTCTGGTTAATTTTTTCACCTTATATCCGAAAAACCCAAATATACCCTAGGAACCCTATTTTTTTCCAAAATAAAATATAGCCTTAAAAAAATTTTTAAATCGGTCCAGTAGTTTTTGAGCTTATTCATTACAAACAAACAAAGTTTTCCCCTTTTATAATATTAGTATATATATATATAAAAGAAAGTTGATGATATTTACACCATTTATAACTCAACAATGGCTAGGCCGATTTTTATGATATTTGTGTCTTTGGATTTGGATTTGTCTTTGTCGGGAATAGGATAAATATGTAATTAAAATTTTATCAACAATAATTATAAACATAAAAGACTCAAAAATTATGATAATAGTGATTTGTCATAATAAAATGCAACTGAAAGTTCACGTAATGTTATCAATGTCTATGGTTTAATTTAAAATAACAATCTATTGCTCACTTATTAACTGTTAAGAGGAACCAAGAAGTTTGTATACTTTTATATTTAAATTTCTTATCCGGCACACAGTTCACCGGGCCCACTAGTTTTAGTATAAATATAACTAGAAATAACAATAAAAAAAAATTGAAATAATACCTCGTGGTAGGATTTTTTCGTACATATGCAGTTAGACCAACAGCACTGGCACCTTGGCCCGTAGTGAATATTGCTCTAGGTGCTATCTAAATTTAAGAAATAATATCACATTTTTTATGAAAACATGTACTATTGAAAAACGGAATAGGATTATGGTGTCGTCGTTATTATACAATAGTCCTTACAAAATACTGTCGTTATAAAACCATAGGAACACGAACTTTACAGCGCGTCCATTGACAGATTTATTTTATATGTTTTAGGGTAGAACGGAATAGTGCTGAATTCCGCCCCTTGCATAGTTAAGAAGCAAATATTGAATATGAGACAACATCACATGAAAATTTGGAACAACATGGGTGTTGTAATACATTTGTTGCTCCAAATTTTCCAGAACTGAGATAATATAGAAAAGTCAAACAGAAATTCAAGTGACTTGAAACCGGCATGCAAGTCACTCGGACTGCTGCTGTCAACAGACTGTACTAGAAAAAGAAAGGAATATTTAAATAAAATAGCACTCACTTTTTCTGTGTACTTCAGGAATTGAGATTTAGCTGTGCCTGGATCACCACATATGAGGACATTGATATCACCTCTTATTTTGTGTTTATCACCTGCAAATACAATACACTTCAGACTACAAATAGACAATGTTTTTCCTCAATCTTTTATGTCTTGGTGATAATTTCTCGGTATTTTCATCTTATACATATTAATTACTAACTTTTCGCCAGCGGCCTCGCTCGCGTGGTCGTGTATTATATAAAACCTTCCTTTTGAATCACCTATCTATGAAAAGGGGAACAAGGGGATGTCATGCGCAATACAAGCTCTCTTCAAGAGATAGCTCCAGCCTCTGACATTTCAACTCCACTCTCACCTTCACGCGGTGTTCCCCGTTAAGTTGAGCAACCCTGTGGAAGATTGGATTCAACCCCAGTGGGAAACAGGGTCAACGAACAGAGAGAGATAGGGGGGATCATTTATGGCGATATATCGGCTAAATGATTTAGTGACCTTCAGAGGAGGAAATGTCACTTAGGGCAGGTAGCGGATGAACCAGTATAGAGGTCAATGGTAGCGCCCACAGTCCAAGTCAGTAGGACTACTTCTCACTCATCACGACGCAATGGGCATGCGGATGAGTTAACTTGCCTAAACCCTTCAAACCCAAAATGAAAGATACAATGAAACAATGGCCCCGAGTTCCCAGCGGACAGGCGACCCTCAGCAAGGGCAGGAGCGTGAGGAATGGCCAGTCCAGGGGTGCGAAGAATCCCTGGGAGTTTAATAGCTGCCCAAAGAAAAAGTCGAGAGGTACCACATTATTTATTGGATCATATAATGCCAGATCATTGAGCAAAGAGGACAGAATGGAGGAGTTGCACCATGAGCTTCTAAACATTAAATGACATGTCCTGGGTCTGTCAGAGGTTAGGCAACCTGGCGAAGAATGTCTTAAACTGAAGAATGGTCACACTCTATATTACCGAGGCAGAGACGACGAGAAAAAGGAACACGGAGTCGGTATTCTTATACACAAAACTCTTGAACATCAAATAATGGCTGTGGGGTCCGTATCGGAGAGGGTATTATATGTAGTCATCAATATCTCTAGGAATATGACAATAAAAATAGTGCATGCTTACGCTCCAACTAGCTCCGATACGGATGACGCGATAGATAGTTTATACGAAGACATCGAAAAAGCTTTCCAAGCTAAGAAAACAACATATTCCTTTCTTATAGGAGACTTTAATGCTAAAATTGGAGAACAAGAAGAACCGTCCGAAAACTTTATGGGAAGCTTTGGATATGGTGTGAGAAACCATAGAGGGTCAATGCTGGTAAATTTTATCCAATGTCACAAGCTGTACCACATGAGCTCCTTTTTTCAAAAAAGACCAGAGAGAAAGTGGACCTGGATATCACCTGGAGGCAAATATAAGAATGAAATAGACTATATCTTTAGCTCTCATAAATACGTAATTAAAGATGTAAGTGTCCTTAATAAATTTAACACCGGTAGTGACCACCGTCTGATAAGAGCAAAACTACATATTGATGCGAAACTGGAACGTTATAACTCGATGAAGAAGAATAAGTCACGTAAAATTGACCAACAACGGCTGACAGTAAATGCTCACGGTTATAGAACCCTACTGAAACCATTAATCCAAAATAAACCGCTGGAAGACTTAGATGTTAATGAGCTGAATAAGCACCTGAATCGGGGGATGTTAGAAGCCGCATCAATTGTAGCGAAAAAAGTAGGAAATCATCAAAGCAAACTGTCCGAAGATACAAAAAAGCTTATGCAGCAAAGACGTCAAATGTCCTATTCAAGCCATGGGGATGAATATGTGGCGCTTTGTAAGGAGGTGAGAACCAAAAGAGAGAGAGATATAGAAGAACACAAAGAAAGAACCGTCAAAGCCATTATAGAGAAATACAAAGGACCTAAAGTATTCAGAAAAGAGCTAAAGCCTGGAAGCCGTGTAATAACAAAACTGAAAAATAATGAAGGAAACTTGGTCATGGAAAGAGCACAAATGCAGAAAGTAGTGGAGGAGTATTACTCAGCCTTATATGCCCAAAGAGGACAGGAACCAAGCAAAACAAACCGCTCTAGTATACAAAACGTAGGCTCAGAGGATATCCCCGATATCACAAAGGAGGAAGTGGCTTGGGCTCTGTCCAGGATGAAGATGGGAAAGGCTAGTGGTGATGATGATATCTTACCCGAGATGTTGAAGGAAGGCGGCGATGCGCTATTAGAGGCCTTAGTCTTACTTCTCAATAAATGCCTCCTTTCAGGAAAAATACCCGAGGATTGGGATAGCGCTGTAGTAATTATACTATTTAAAAAAGGCTGTAAGACTGATTTAAATAACTACAGACCTATTAGCTTGCTGTCTCAGACATATAAGTTGTTCTCTAAAATACTAACAACCCGACTAACTACTAAATTAGATTTTTACCAACCAATAGAACAAGCGGGTTTTCGGAAAGGTTATTGCACCGCAGAACACATCTTAACACTGCGTGTTCTAATAGAAAAGGCCACTGAATATCAGATGCCGTTGTGGATGGCATTCATAGACTACAAGAAGGCCTTTGATAGTGTGGAAATCTGGGCTGTGCAAAATTCCTTAAAGAATGCACGAATAGATCACAGATATAGCGATATAATAAATAAGATCTACCACAACGCCAAAATGAAAGTGTCGCTTCCACAACTTACAAACCCCATTGATATTAAAAGAGGAGTTCGACAGGGGGATACATTGTCGCCCAAACTTTTTACATTGGTTTTGGAGGACGTATTTAAAGAGCTGGACTGGCAGAATAGAGGGATATCAGTATCAGGGGAATATCTATCAAACCTAAGATACGCAGATGACATAGTCATATTCTCACACACCCCGAAAGAGCTGCAGGAAATGATCCAAGAACTACAGGTTGCGTCCCTAAAAGTTGGATTAGAAATGAACTTGGACAAAACAAAGGTGATGACAAGCGACACAAACAGCACATTACCGATCAAAGTAGGGGGAGTGGAAATAGAACGGGTTCAGAAATATGTCTACTTGGGCCAGGAAGTGAAATTAGGGAAAGCAAACCAATGTAGCGAGATCGACAGAAGGATAAGACTGGGTTGGGCAGCATTCTCAAAACTCGACTTTGTCTTCAAAATGAAACTAACAGCCCAGCAAAAAGCTCAAATATTCGATCAATGCGTCCTCCCCGTACTAACATATGGATCTGAAACTTGGGTTTATACGAAAGACACAATAAATAAACTGAGGGTGGCGCAAAGGGCAATGGAGAGAAAGTTGGTTGGTGTCACTATAAGAGATCGAAAGACGAACGTATGGCTTAGAAACCAAAGCAAAGTCACCGACATCGCTCGTAGAGTGGCAAGGCTTAAGTGGGAGTGGGCCGGCCATATAGCCAGAAAAGAAGACTCTTGGTGCAAGCGGATATTGGGCTGGAGACCATGGGATCAGAAAAGACCAAGGGGAAGACCACAAATGCGCTGGAAAGATGACATCACAAGGATGGCAGGCAGCAACTGGACTCTTACTGCCCAAGACAGAGAGAAGTGGAGGGGGCTGAGGGAGGCCTACACCAATTCATTGGTTGATTATGGCTGAGAAGAAGAAGAAGAAGATCTATGAAAAAAACCGCATGAAAATCCGTTGCGTAGTTTTAAAGATTTAATCATACATAGGGATATAGGGACAGAGAAAGCGACTTTGTTTCATACGATGTAGTGAAGTAATGACATGGTTTATGAAATGGATAAAGCTTCTTTCGCTCTTTCTGGTCAGCCAAATGACGTCCTGATTGGGTACAATTAAAAACTTAAAAATACAATATTTAATGTGCATCTTTACAAATTTTTTGCTTGTATAGATATAATCTATTCCATAACAAGAGAAAAAACGGACCTAAAGTATTATGTGCAATACATAGAACAGTCGTTTTTGTGGAGTACTGCCTATTGCTGTAGAGTAGTGTTAACATCGTATAGCCAAAGACTTTAAATTATTATTAAATAAATAAAAAGTTTTTCGATATTTTTGGAAAATGTAATATAACGCCTTCTATCCTCTTATACTGATAACCTATGAATGAACTGGCTTTTCTGGGCAAAAGCTGAAATAATGAGACTCGTTCATGCATTTTTAGTAATTGTTTATTTTAAAAGCTATAGCACAGGCGCCGAACAGAGAGAATTTTATACATTGACATTTGTGCCTACTGATAGATATCGTAAACATTATAGGTTCATTTTACTATGGCAAAATTACAAGCATCTGTGTAGCCATAATAGCAATATGTTTGCACACGAGTGAGAGATATGTAATGCCTGGTCATTGTACGTAATTCTCTAGTCAGTCTGTTTGCGCTCACCCTAGAAATAAACTTTTAAATCCATAGTACATGCATAATGGCCAATTTTAAGTTACCTGGATTTTTCGGTTCCCCTCCGAATAATGCTAAAGCCAGTCCTCTTTTAATATAATCGTGACCAAATATGGATGGTGCGATACTTTGCACTATCCTCTCACTGATCTGAGGGTCTTTTGACAGCTTAACGATATTAGCAACATCCTCATCAGTGAGAGATTCCACTATGTGCTTACAATCCTTCACCACTATGTAATTGGCAATTATCACTGTTGCGAATACCGGAAAACCCTGTTATGAAAATATTGAATATCTTACTGTGAATAAAATATATTTAATAACATTTTGAATGGATTCCAAAATGGTAAAGGTACAGTATTGTTATATGTTTTCATATTTAGAATATTATTCTAGTGACTACAGAGATTGAAAAAGGTTCCAAATAAGTAAACCACCACAGTATTTATAGTGTGTTCAAGAATTGTTTTTTGTCAATGGAAATGGTAAATTTAATTTTTTTGTAGGAAATTTTCTTATAAGTAGTGTGTAGATTAGATAAAGGACATGAGACGTCAAATTTCAAATTGTCAAATATGTTTTAAGTTTGTTCTTATATATTTTCCTGGTGATTTATAAATAACCCTGTATATTAAAATCAGCAGTGTAACACTGGACTTTAAGAGTTATGTTAGAAAATCAGTATACACTGATATTGAGCTGAAAAAATAAATATTAATTTATAGTACATTTACCTGTTCTGTGTTAAGTGAACCATCGTAGTTGTTAGTATAAATGCCGGTGAGGTCAACTTCATCCCCTGGCTTGCAACGATCACACAGATCTGCCAGTAAAATACAGTCTTTACTGCGGGGAATACGCCCCGCGGGTATTCGCCCCGGAGATTCTTGAATAGTCACCTTCTGATAGTTACGGTACACTGTTTGTTCCATGTTCACCTGCAAAACGAATTCAATTTATTATATGTTGTTATAAAGAAGAAGAACCGAAGATCAGTCCAATTTTATTATTTGATTTATAAGAAACTCGCATCGCTCACTCAACCCGTCTTTAGTATTTGTGTTTGGTATGCTATTGTAATTTTTTTTATTTTTTCTTCAATATATTGAAGTGCTGGGGCAAAGGCATTCCCAATCTTTCCAACAAAAGGGCTCAGAGCGGATTAATAATAACTGCAAATGCAGTTACGTAAATAAATTTTTGGTCATCTTATTTAAGACCAGCCTGGATAGACAGACTCGAGAAACGGGCGAGAGATCACATTATAGTATACTTTAATATGAGTTACAAAATACTTATAAAAACTTCTTACTGAAATTGTAACTGCTAATATTAATAATTACCATGAATGGTCCAGAGCTTTGACACTCTGGGCAGGAACCGGGTTTCACTTCCGAATTCTGCGACTGTACAAACGGTCCCAAAATATAACCACACCTGTTACAATCATATTTTACAACAGACAACTGAGGTAGAACACCAGTAGTTGCCGTTATAACTCCCACAGTTCGGACAAGCTGGTTCAAATGAAGTTTCCTGAACGTTCTCAATTCTTCAATTAGAGGTAAATCAGATATCCGAACATGAATTTCTGAAGTTACTCTTTCGTAACTTGGAAAAATTTGCAGTACAATGTCTTTAGCAACTTCGTCGAATATTTGGAGCATTTGGAACGGTGCCTCAGGTAAAAAGTAAGCAAGGACTTGTTCTCGTCTGGCGAGGACATCGAATTCGACATGGAAGGAAGCTTGATTGTGTTCACACATGCGTCTGATCCGATCTTTATACACAAACTGATTTTTGCTATTAGTGTAGGTGCGTAGAAAATTCTTGAACCTACAACAACACATAAATACCGTAGTTAATAGGGCATGCGACCCTGTTATTTGATAACCGAAAAAAAAAACAGGTAAATTACTAAAGAAACCTGGTTTTTTAAGGTAATTGAAAAGTTATGTATTCGTTTTCATATTAAAATAAACAAGTAATTTTTGTTTTTTTTTTGTTTTTGTGTATTAACTAATTTTTGTGACTTATTTTACAACAGGACCATATTTCACAAAATTTAATTGATGGAATAATATTTAATTTTCTTTGTATTAGTTATTTGATCAACCCAAGAAGCAATATAATTATTCCTTTATTTATACTGATTTGATATAACAAACGGTTAAAGCATATAAATGTTTTCTTTTAAAGAAAACATTTATATGCTTTAAATACATCGGATTATAAAACTTACTGTGAGAAACAAACATTAAGAGAAATATTGTGAAATGAAATACTATACTCCATTCGTTATAGCATTAGACAGAAGTTAAATAAGGTTCTTTTTATGGTATACTATGTGACAAAATATCAATAATCATATTACTTTTAAGACTGACGGCTAATTTGCTACATATCCACTTAAATACCAGCCATGCTATACTTAACTGTTGTCATTTAAGCTATCTATTAAACAAATTTATGAGTATATGACTAACTTAAATGATTTAATAACTATACCAATAAAAAGTGTTCATCGTAAAGAACCTCAAGAAGCAGGGTTGGATAGTTTCGGCACAATTCTGATGTCACTATAACTCTACCAAATTTAAAACGATGCCTAACCCTTTCAAACGTTTCAGTGGTACAGCTTTTTAATTCTGTCAGACTATTATTTATTCATAATTGTTAAAATCGTAATTTGGGATTGTCATCCATCGTGAACGCTACTGCCTTTCTTGTTGTTTTGCCGTTTTCCGTGATGTTTTTGTTTTATTTTTGTTGTTAAGTTTTAGTAAATATGGACGATGCCGATGCAGGCCCAAGTGGCCTGCAAAAATTACGCTCTAAGCCCCCATACCTACCCTCAAACTTTGACATTTCAGGGAGTTTTTCCAATGTCTTCATCAATAGTCTAACTAATTACACTTACAATTACAATTTATCAAAACACACAGATAGTTTCAGTTTTAGTTCCATGTTGGCTTGGGACTAAAAGATGAATTTATAAAATGCTGGCCTCATCTCAACCCCGAGGTATCATAAAAAAATGGAAAATTGCCCAGCTCTTTCAGACTACCTAACGTTCAAAGTTTCAACAAAACTAATATATATTTTTTAAATTTATCTTGAAAATAAAATGTTCTGCACTGCTGCTTCTATGACCCTCTTTTTTCTAATGTTATAGTGAATGGAGTATAGTTTAATATTTGTAACATTTCAGTTATTTTGTTTTAGAATTTTACTTTTTTTTTATTTCAAAATTAGACAGACGGGTAATTTTATTTTAATAATGTAAAAATGTTTGATTTAATTTGCTGTTAGATCTCAAATCATAATAATAAACACTTCATTACATTCAAATTGATACAGTTTACAATAAGTAAATAAGAGTAAACAAAAAGCCGCTTTATTGCTAAACTGCGATCTGTTCTAGGCAACCTATGATGGAAGAAGAAAATTTAACAATAGGGATACTGTAGGAAAAAGGGTGTGTGTTGATAAGGATACCAGTTTTTGCATGCCAAAATACCAGTTTTGAATGCATGGTGGTTAATACAATTTAATGTTTCAGTTTTGTTTTAGATGATTAAATAAATCGACGCTTAAGAACCAAGAACACCCATCTACAAAAAGTCGATTTTACAGGAGACGTAAAAAACGTTTCATATTTTTTCTACAACAAGTTTTTTTTTATCTGATTATGTAATGGATGGGCATGGGAAATAAGGTGTTTACGTGTATTTCAAGAAATCTATAATTGTTTCAAAATTACTGTAGATAGCTGGTATTAGTTAAAATATTTGCGTATGTTTATGTAGCTAACTGTAATATAGATGGTATTGGCACCTTATGAATCGACAACAATTTGGTTTTACAAGAGGTTGCTCAACAACTCGACACCAACGCCGGTGTCGAGGTAATACAAGAAACTTTTAATGCTTGGGAGGACTCGCATGATGCGTTAGGTGTTTTCTATGACCTATCTAATGCATTTGTTTGTGTTTTTCATGAAACATTGATTAGGAACCTTCATTAGTATGGATTTAGAGATATCAACGGCAAAAGATCCCTTGGATCGAAAGTTAAGATGGGTGGTCTGCAGGGCTTAATACTTGGTCCTTTCTTGTTTTTGATTTACATAAATAACTTGCCTTATTTCGTAAGGGATAATTAAGAAATAGTTTTGTTTGTGGATGACACTTTACTTTGTTTAAAATTAAAAGAGGGCTATCTTTAAATGACGATGTTAACAATTCTATCGCTAAAGTAGTACATAGGTTTAATGTAAATAATCTTCTCCTTAATGAAGGAAAAACAAAATGCCTTAAATTTGTACTACCTAATGTTAAAAAAGTAGATATAAATGTAAATATAAAAGATAAAAACATGGTCCTTGTTGATATCACAGTATTTTTAGGAATAACATTAGATTCTAAACTACAGTGATAAAATGTCGAGTAGACTGAGCTCTGCAGCATATGCCTTAATGAAGATATGTAGGATAACTGACATAGATACTGCCAGATTAATATACTTCAGTTACTTTCATAGTGTAATGTCATACGGAATCCTATTGTGGGGAAATGCTGCCGACATACAATCAATTTTTGTGCTTCAGAAAAGCAATTAGATCAATTTATAATATTAGGATTAGGGAGTCTTTAAGGGAGAAATTTAAGGAAATAGACATAATGACTGTTGCTGCTCAATACATATACAAGAACTTAATGTATGTTTGTAAAAATATTAGTTTGTTTTCTATAAAAAATGATGTACAAAATTTTGATACAAGAAATTAAAATAAATTAACGGTGCCTGTCACTTGACTGCAAAGAGTTAATAACTCATTCAGGGGTCTTTGTGTACGCTTTTACAATAAGGTCCCAAGCAAAATACAACAATTTGATATAATGCAGTTTAAATCTACTATTAAAAAAATACTTATTATAAGATAATTATATAACAAATAAGAATGCTTCGACTTAAGATGATCCAGCAAGTGAATAGGTTTATATATCAAAAATTATCTTGTTTCCATTATTATTAAATGATTATGTTATCATTATAAGACCATAGTTTTTTTCTCTCTCTATTTATAATGTTCAATACATGGTAATGACATGGTTTTTGTGAATCTCATTACTCCTATTAGAACTGGTGAGTTTCTATCTCTTTCTTCTTATCAGCCAAAAGACGTCCTGAACGAGTGGTAGGGAAAAAAAATGTTGGACGATTGAAAAGTACTTTTAAGAAGTCTATTTGAATAAAGACTATTTTGACTTTGACATTAAAACAAAATAATATATATTAAAGACTTTAATCAAACAAAAAACTCTTTTATTAAATTTTAAAACAAATAATTACATATTCTCTGTAGATAGGTGGTATTTCCATACAATTATTATGCCACGTAACTTAGGTAGTATAGGTATTTTCTCATAACTCCTTATTTATTGCGAATTTGAAGTAATGGATTAAAGGAAATGATGCGTAAGTGAACCATGAAAAGAACTGCATTAAAAAATTAAAATCGCCAAAAGTGTAGATAGATGGTCTTGGTTCTTAAGCATTGAAATGTTAATTGTAACTATTTTAAGTTTATTTACGGTTTCATCACATCTGGCATAATATATAAAATTAAGGTGAAATTAGTTAAGCAACACTAGTTTCATCAAAGATATGTGCATCACACAAAACTATGAAAGTGATTGAAATTATTGCAATGAATATTTCATAATATAAATTCAGCTTTAGACTTATATCTTATTTCAGATTTTATCTCATCTTACATAATAAATGGATAAGATTTATAACACTTAATACAATGTTATTTTGAAAATTGGTATTTATTAATGACAAAGAACATGCTTTATTACTTGCAAAAACATTTTGATGTGCTCTATTAGATAGGTTTGCGTGTTATGGAGTATTGGGGTTATGTGCATACCTATTTTTTCCATCAATTTAACTTTGTTAATATTTATTCAATAACAAAGTAATTTAAATATATGAATAAAAATAAATTAAAACTTTCTTACCTGTTTGCAATCTCTGTCCTAGGTCCCAACATAGATACCCACTCTTTGGTGGTATAACCTTTAGTATCTTCTAAGTTTTCAATACTTTCAATACCTTCTTCTATTTGTTCATCAGAGCCCATAGCAGCTTTTTCTGCTGCACGACGCCGCTTTGCACGGGGTGCATCTCCATCTTCTTCATCAGATTCATCTGTAATACCATCATTGTCAATACCAAAAATTTTTGTAAATATACTTTAACAGCCTTACTTATAAAAATTCATTAAACTATGGTTATTCAATCGTTATACCAAGAATAGTTATACTCGGTATATGCTCATAATAACGGAAGAGTATCTTTTGACTTATAAACTTGGTATATCTTCGGCGTAAGTATTCCACCCTTATGTTCGATGCACGTAGCGGCAACGCCGCATTTTATAGACAAAAACGAAAAAAAGAAAGTATTTTGTCTGTTGAAGTGTCAAATATCACTGAGTTTAACGTTTGGTTGATTGACGTTACATATGGTTATTCCTTGAACAAGACGCCGGTGATTTTGTGCAAGTTATTGTAAATTATTAATTCAAATATAAACTAATATCAAAATGGCAAGTAAAAGTAGTATCTCAGCGTTATTAGTATCTGCAATATAACTCACTGCCAAAAAAACGTTCTAACAATAAGACATTGTACAAAAGGAAGGGAACATTTCTAGTTCTAAATGTTTTCGATTTTCTTCACGTCCTAAACATTTGCGATCGATTGATCAAATTATTAATTTCTTCCACTTTTTGTATTGTCTAAACGCCATATTTCAATAAAATCACATTTCAATATTATTAAAAATTATCTAATACGGTAAATATTTGGTAAATATCAATAAAGCATCAACAATATCAAAATGTCATTTGACAAATCCGTTGCTACACCAGAGTTATACTAGGGTGACGGGCGGAATATCGGTGGAATAAGTTTTGTTAGAACGTTACATCCAGGTTATGCTAAGCATAAGTTACACCGAGTTTATAAGTTGACATTTTGCGTATTCTGCACTAATTCTCAGTATAACATTTTATACCACGTTTATAAGTAGCGCTGTAAGATTCTAGATCAATAGTGGGCTACATGCAGTTCTTTTGATGGAATGAATAGGTATGAAAAATAATTATCTCACTGTAGTCGATTCATATGTGACTACTCATACTTTAATAAGATTGAGACATACTGACAATAATTGAGAGATTGATCATTGTGATCATTTATTTGAAAGAAAACCTTAAACATAATGTGATTAATATTGAAAAGATTGCTTTCAATGGTTCTTTATAAACAGTGAAATTTTGTAAATGGTAGATGGAAGAGTTTGAATCTTGTATCTCATGAGGTTCTCAATTATGAAAAAAAAACCCCTTGTCAAAGTAGTGGACCCAGCTGCCAGCATGTGTACAGAAGTATAAAAGATCCATAGCCTTAATAATGTAGTAATGATTTCTTTTTTCACTACTACCAACAAGAGACAAATGAAATACAAAATTGTATCTATCTATTTATAAAGCACTTTACTGTTGAATTAACACTTGTTTGAAAAATGGGTGTAGTTGGTATTTACTTATTTAAATAATCTCTATATTATAACTTATTCATGTCTCAGTAACTCACCATACAACAAACCACGATCATCTCTTCTTAGTCTCCCCTCATCCCGATCTCGCCTTCGTAATTCTTGTTCAGCAGCAACACGGTCTTCAATAGACATAGGGTCATAATCCTCTTCATCAAGGTCTTCATTGTCATAACGATCCAATGCCGGCATGGGTCGATAATCTCTACAATAAATAATATATAAAGTGGGAAGCAATGACAAAAAAATGGTATGATGTTTAACATTAAATCTTGATATAAAGTTGTGTTTTTTATATTGTTTTGATCTACTTACGCTTCCATGTTATCATTGAACAATTCCTCTCCATCTTCTTCTTCCTCTTCATGGGCATTATCTCCAAGGATAGCACCTTCATCTTCAAACATTTCATAATCGCGAGCCGGTGACGTCATACGGGAGCGAGCTCCATCTCTGTCGGATGGCGTGTCTGGACTTGGTGAACTCTTTAATAGAAAAGTGGTGTTTTAGGTTAAATACATATCAAGATACTGGAACTTAACTTATACTTTTAATAACTGCAGTGTACACTCTTAGAGGAAACTGTTATCACATAGAACTATATGCATGCAATTTATTAAAAAGAATTGGAAAATATTATAGGTAATAAACAACATTATATGCCACTATGGTGCTATAGTGTTTAGTTTTTTTTAGATAAAATTGATATTTTATTTACCATTCTGATGATAGGAAGTCAGGCACAAATATTACTTAATTTTAACAACTTAAAAAGTCTATTTTGTTTCAGAATAAATTATAATTAACAACAAAATGCATGGACAAACAAAACGACAGCGAGTTTTATACTTGACAAGTAACGTCAAAAAAAACGCGCGAAATATAGTTTTTAAATATAGTAGTACCATGGGATTTCTCTCCTACAGACACGAAAATATATATAAACTTTCAAAGTTCATTTACAGGAACTTGTTTAGGTATTGTATATCATCAAAAAAAAACCGTAGTATTCTTATAGAAGGGAAAGTTGAATCCACATTTGTCACTTTTTTTAACTTATTGTTGTAATTATGTACTAATTACAATAATCCATTCCATTTCATTTAAAATTTCATGCAAATCCTTCAATTAACAATAAGTTAAAAAAAGTGTAATTATTGTAATTATGTACTAATTACAATAATCCATTCCATTTCCTTTAAAATTTCATGCAAAACCTTCAATTAACAATACAACTAGATAACGCCTTGCATACTAAATGATATTAAAAGAAAAAAATTTAATAGTCACAACAAAAAGCATGATATTAACCAAAAACATTTATCGTAGATAGGTAGATAAGTAGTAGTGAACTTGGGCAGTGTAAATCGTTTTAACATAAGTTTAATTTTGCAGGCACGGGAAGTGCCTGCAAAATGTTAAAACGATTTCATAATGATTGCAAAATGTCAACTTTACACTATATATGGAACTAACTCTGAATTCACTTATCAAAGGAAACTAATTATAATAAACGATTGATATTATTGTGATTCTGATAAAACTTTAAAGATATGTATTTAAGTATTGGTAGATCTTAAAACTTTGTACAATTGTCTTTATAAAGAAAAAAAGAAACAGATCTTTAGGTGCAACCATATTATAAAATAATATTCTATTTAAATAAAATTTTGAAAGTTTGTGAGGATGTATGTTTGTTACTCTCATGCATGGATGTTTGTTACTGAACAAATTTTGATGAAATTTTGAATATGAATAATTGTAAGCCTCAATTAAAAATTTAAGATACTTTTAAGCCGATATCGGAAAACTAGTCTAGATTAATATTATAAAGAGGGAAGATTTGAATGCTTATTTGCCTCGAGTAAACTTTGAAACCACTGGACTAATTAAAAAAATCTTTTACCTCTAGGAAGCTACATCATACGCTGGTAAAATAGGTTATAATGAAGAATTATTTAAAAATACATTAGTACCCCAAATCAAACTAGATGTCGCTACGGTACTTTCTTGATTTCTCCATGGCAACCCTTCCGGTTTTCTTTCATGTATAAAAGTAAATTAATTTTCAAACTCAATAAACAACTCATATTCTATTTGTACTTTTTCGTATTTGTATTAATATCTAAGTTTCGAACTTTGAAAATTTCAGTTTTTCAATACGTTAGTTTCATTCGTTTCCGGCAAAAATCAACTTTTGCTAGAGTCGCCATCTAGTGGAAATACTTCCTCATTATCATACTAACTCGAGCGCAGTCGCAAGAAACATTAGTTTTAGATATCCAACAAAACATGAAAAACAGCTTACAGATTTTTAAATAATTAATGAATTCAAGCCACTTTTGAGAAAATATAAACATGATTTAATTAATTCACAAACATTTGATTGGTACGTAAATGTGAAATTAATAGAAATGTTTAACCATGTCCCTAACACAGGAAATCATATTACATTTTTTAATAAGTATTAGTTTTGTAGCAGTTTCACGAAATAAGTACTAACCTTTATTTAATACGACATTAATGTCAATACAAATGTCGTTATCATGTGTCGCGCCCTATGGTAGTCAGCCATCGGAGAATTTACATTACAAGTTAAGGCATATAGGTACGCTTTTTTCGTAGGTAAACTGTTTTACCTATGAAAAAAGCGTCCATTTCTTTATATCAATGGTCTTATAGGAGTAATACTTGAAGTCAAACCAAAATGTTCCTAAGATATAAATTGAAGAAATATTATCTATCCGTTTTTATTGATATTAACTATTAATGGTTAGTTAAAAAGACACAAATAGTTATTTGTAAGTAATGCATATGTCACAGCCAAGTGGTATAATCAACCGACATACTCCTTGGCTGCGACTCATACATTTTGTTTATCAAAATTTGTATAAGCTACGTAATATTAAGAACATTTGTACTACGTTAAGTACATATATGTATCTCAATGTACTATAACTACATTTATTGAAAAATTTATAACAAGATACGAGAAACTTATTTTAATTTGAAATCAAATTCTTAATAATTAAAAATATGTGGGCAGACATAAAGATTCCGATACTGTAGCCTTATAATTAGAAAAGATATTAAGCGATATTGCCATGTAAGGGTAAAATACCCCAGAATCAGGAAACATTGCTTATTATAATGATGGCTGGTAATTATTTTATTGATGATAAGGCTTTTGAAATGAAATTTAGCATGTGTAAAGAACAAAAACTGGAAAGTGGTTCTATAACGTGAACATGATATGTAAATAAACTACTGTCACTATTAATAATAATTTATCGTATCGTATCGTAATATTATTCGGATTAGGACATATCGTCAACTTGGGTAAAACGAAGAATAACCAGGCAGTACTAAAACGAAAATAACCTAAAAAATTTTGAAGTTTTACGACTTTCCGAACAAGATCCATCTTCGAGGATCATCTAATTTTTTGCCATTATTTTTATGTCGTAATGTTGTTGAACAACCTTGTTTTATTACCAACTAAAAATGGCTAAATATATTGCACAAATTATAGTTTTGGGTGCACAAGTAGTCGGAAAAGCCTTTGCGCGAGCTTTGAAGCAAGAAATAGCTGCATCTCAAGAAGCTGCTAAAAGGGCTGGCGGTGGTCCAGAAGGTGCTAGAAGAGCCGCTGCTAATGCTTCAACAGGCCTTTCTTTAGAAGAAGCTATGCAAATTTTGAATCTAGACAAGTTAGACCCAGAACAAGTCAAGAAAAATTATGAACACCTGTTTACAGTAAATGATAAGGCGAAAGGTGGCTCTTTTTATTTACAATCAAAAATAGTGAGAGCAAAAGAGAGACTAGATGTTGAGTTTAATCAAAATCAAACAAAACAAGAACAGAGTCACCCAAAAGACTCATCATGAGACTATTAGTTCAATTTAGTGATTATTATAATTTCATTACTTTCTTTAGAGGTACCTTGTTTTAGAAAAAGCGAGCAGTTTATAAAATATTTTATTACATAGAAAATGACTACACAAAGTGACTAGAATACATCAGTCTTCATATTATAGAATGTTGATTATTTATCACATGCTTGCGAACAACTGTATAAATTATGAATTACATTAGAAATTATGCTGCCAAACATGCTACAGTTATTGAGTATCAATAAATCTTATCAAGCAGAACCATTTTGTATATTAATTACATAATAATGCATTATTATAAATTAATTAGGCGGTATAAATTTTAACTACTCCTCAAAATTGAGGTAAATACCTTATCAACTAAAATTCCAATAACACAAAAGATATGTAAAAACATGGGTACATGGTGTATGTTATATTCTTAACCTATAAATCAGTACATTTGACTAGAAAATGTAATTGCTTATATTATAAAAGTGGAAGATTGAGCAACAAAACAAGTTTTACTATTTCAATCTAAGAACAAAATACAAGAAAATGTATTATACTCATTATTCTGATTTAATAAATATGGAATCATTTGTGCATTCCATAATTTACAATCTCATAAAATCTTTGCATTCAGAAGAAAGAACAGTAACCATAAAGTTGGTAATTATAAAATTACAATGGAAAAGGAGAAATTTTGATAATTAAATGAAATCAGTCAATGTTAGCTTATAAAAAAATTAATTGAAATTTCAAGAAAATCCACAAATATTTATGATGGTTTTACATCCATCAGAATCACTACTTCATATGGGCTGCATTCAGATATGCCCAGAGTGCTACAAAGCCAACCATAAAAACCTTTCTCAAAATCACAGACGTCTTTCCACCAGTTGGCCCCACTGAATGTCAACTGAACTATCCCAGCATACAACCCTAGACCCACAGTAAATATCACTATCAAAAAGGGATATGATAAAATTACTATTGGTGATAGTAAAATCTTTTTCAAACAGTTCAATTCATCAGTCACATGAGAAAAAATATTATACCATGTTATAGTTCCCATGTAAAAGGAATACAATGCAGAAATACATACAACAAATGGAGTACATAATAAACTAAATAAAAAAATATGTAGACCATTGTAAATGGAACATTTAGAGACATCCATTTTGTTATATTCTTCTGCAACTATTGCTGCTTCGATAATTTCAAGCTCTTCTCTTGAAATGTTAAGTTTTACATCAATGTTTTGTCCTTTCTTTTTACCTCTTTTAATTGTTCCCGTCATTGTTAAATAGCTATCTTTGTTTTCAGTCACAGATGTATCTAGGGAAAGTGAACCTTCAGATTCAACTCTTAAAGCAGTAATTTCAGTGTCTGTATTTTCAGATTCTCCAATACCAGATACAATGTTCACTCGTTTTTTTCTTTTGGCACTGTTTTTGAGACTATCTGTCAGAGTTCCCATTTCGAAGCTGTTTTCAGATTGTGTTTGGGAGAGGCTGTTAGGAGTGGCCGAGGAACTCTCATTAAAATCGGTGTTTAAGTTCCTGCAGTTTTTTTGGATGTCATTTTCATTGTTCTCTCTTAAGTCACCATGACTAGAACATGCATCAGATGAGTTTTCATAGATAGGTGAAAGGTCAATTATTTCACGACTATTGTTAAGACCTTGATAACTGTTTTTGTAATTTTGAAACTTGGATGAATCTCTGTTTTCATCTACACTATGGCCATTCCTGTCTTCATCATGTACATCATTGATTATAGGAAGATTAATTTTCATATTCGATTTTAATCCTTCCATTGTTGAGTGTATGATACCATTGTATTCGTGTTCAGACACTGGTGATAAGTCATTTTTATATTTTGTGTGCAAGTCTCCATCTACAGCTCCCTAAAAAATAAACATTAAATATTTTTTATTATATTTGATCAAATTTGCATTCACAATGCTAAATGCTTAGAAAATCCACTTTGTCCTCCGCAATTTGGGTGATTGCTCTAACCACTGAGCTACCCAGGACCTAACAGGACTGACGAATTTTTCAAGCACTTGCTACTTTTTAGCTACTATAATATTCAGACCCCAATAGCCGTAAGAAATATTTTTACAAATATTTAAACTTTCAATAAAGATGAAAGTTTGTTCAAATTAAAAAATGTTAAGGAATATTAATAAAAATTAAAGATGATGTATGCGGTAATAGCTTTAAAGGAACGGCAAAATGTAAGCTGTATTAACTTACCTGTACACCTAGGATATGGTCTACATGGTTTGCTACAGGGCTCTGTTTTTTCCCATTACGTTTCTTCGGCAATATAAATATGGGTTGCTCCACATCAGCCATATCTCAATTAATAAATGTAATTCGTATCTTCAACATACACAAGTTTATAAAATGGTTTATTTTATTTAGAATTTAAAATATTTATAAGTAAACAACCAACCCAAAGAATATGACATTTAAGGAACCAACATGGAACCGAGTCAACTAAACTAATGGTGTGCGGAATCGATTACCACTAATCGATTTTACAAATAATCAGACAATATCGATTATTATTTCCTAATGGACGATTAATCATCGATTATTTCTTTAAACGTTAGTATAGGAATAGTTTAAAACGTTAGTATAGTGGCTGTTCGCGCTTAATATTACGCACGGGGCGAGGAGCGCGGGAGGAGGACCGACAGCTGCCGACGGTGATGCATCCTTCGGGTGGTCTCGGAAACCGTCGTGTTTTGTCACGCTGCCATTTAAAAACAGCTGTTAGAACGGACAGTTATTCACTTTCACTTTTTAACTCAGCTTCAAGAATGTGTTCAACATTCTTGAAGCATGTAAACGAAATTGAAGAAAATAAATAATTTATCAGCAAAGGGGTTTGATTTATTTATTTCTTGTCATATACAGTACCTACTTGCTTTACTTCGTTGGATCAGCAACCGGATCGCGAGTGTAAATATTATTAGTAGATATTCTAATACTTATTATGGCAATCCTGGAATACTCCCACGAACAAATAGGTAACTTTACTCTTTGGTCGGGGAACTCCCGATGAATGAATGAACGGATCTTACAGTTTTATTTTAATAAATACAAATTAACCGTTTCTTACTAAATGCACTTGCAGTATACACGATACAAACCTATATCAAAATAATATTTTTTACAGTTTTTCTCTGTCTGTTTGTTCCGGCTAAACTCTGAAACGGTAAGACCAATTTTGACGGGACTTTCACTGGTAGATAGCTTATTTAATAAGGAATTACTAAGGATATTTTCTACGCACACGAAATCGAGGGTACAGCTAGTTTAATTCTATAAATTTTGCATGCACAATGCTGGTATAGTAAACATTGTCCTAAAATTGATTTTTAACTATAATTCAATATATTGGATGGCTTTAAAATTCGGTGGAATTAAACTGAAATCATCAATAACTTTTGGAGTAAAAATATTTAATAATCGTTGACACAAATCGATTATTACTCGTTTACGAGCAATATTGTAATCGATATGTATAATAATCGAATCGGCACATCTTTAAACCAAATATCATTGACCAAACATAGAGTGAACAAGAGTAGGAGAGTAGTTATATTGCTCTGTGGTCAGTAGAGCTGGCAACCGTGTGCCGTTGTATTCGGTAGTTCGCTGTGGTAGTTCGCTACTAAGTAAGTATGACTTGCCTGTCTAAGCACAAAATAAATAATAAAGGCAAATATTATGTACAAATTTAAATATTTGCTTCAGTTGGTAATATTTGTATTAAATCTTGTCAAATAATCTTGTTTTCGGAGTAAATCATATTTCATAAAAATAATGCTTCGTGGGTAGAGCTGTAGCAAACGGTGTGCCGTATATATTCAGTATTGAGTAAGTATGACTCGCTACTTACATGCCTCAGCACAAAATTATCAATAAAGGCAAAAAGATTATTTTAAAATTTGATAATTTTATTATCAAATTTTAAAATAATCATAATTCCAATTAAAAAAATGTTTTAAACAAAAAAGTAATCAACGTGCATGTCACACAAGTAATTCAATATGTCACATTATTATCAATAACCGAGTAATCTGTTTTATAAAGTTTGATAGTGTCTATATCTACAATTAATGATATATATCAAAAAGGATCTCTTACTTTGTGAAGACAAATTTTAAGGATTCGATAAGATCGAGAAAGAGATGCCATTCCTTGCCCGATGTCGCATTACTACTCGAAACACTTGAGGTGCAAATAAGCATTCTAGTTTAGTATCAAAATATTTGTAATAATATATTATACATAAATAGTCCATTAATATCTGAAAAATAATGTAGAAGTAACTGCATGTCTGCGACTAATAGTTTATGCCATGTTTGTGGAACGTCTGCCAATCGGCCGAAAACGCTGCCTACAAACACAAACCACTATTCCCCATATAATTTAACATTAGAAAAAAGAGGGTCATAGAAGCAGGAGCGCAAAACACCTTATTTTCAAGACAAATAAAAAATAAAAATTTGTTAATAACTAACGGTATTATTATTGACCACATTTATACTATCTACAGATACTACCTAGTCTGAAAGAGCCGGGCAATGAGGAAGTATATAAAAAAAAGAAAGCACTAAAAAAGCACCTCCACTGGATGACGACTCTAGCAAAAGTAGATTTTTGCAGGAAATGATTGGCCCAAAGATAGTCACTTCCGATCCTTTTAACTTATATGTTAACTTACGTTATATACGTTAAAAAAACTTAAATTTGCAAGGTTTGAAACTTACATATTAATAAAAATACGAAAAAGTATAAATAGAATATGAGTTGTTTATTGAGTTTTGAAAACTAATTTACTTTTAAACATGAAAGAAAACCTGAAATAAACAACCATATTCTATTTGTACTTTTTCGTATTTGTATTGATATAAGTTTCGAACTTTTGAAAATTCAGTTTTTAATATGTTAGTTAATCTACATTAATATTTTTTACAAAGTACAACCTCGAAAAAAACCTTATTTAGCCTCTGCCTAACTAATGCTATGGTAAATGGAGTATAAGTGACGTCACACAGTGCTAAAATGGTTTGGTTTGAGCGTATGGGCAATCTTTTAAATATCTTTGTTATTTGTTGTATTTATGTTTATGGGTGTTATATATCGTACCTTGAGAACGTTAGTGACACAATGCAAAAATGCGATTTTGAGTAATGAGCGTTTAAAGTTCAAGAAATTATAATCAGCCCCTCTAAACAACGTATCATCACTACGCCACCTAGCAGTTTCTATGCAAGCTACATTCACAGGGATCTTTGCATTTTAAAAATTATACTCAACAAAGAAAAATGTTGCCAAAAGCAAAAAATACGACGTTTCTTCACCACATTCATACGCTGTGACAGGTTATACAGAAGACCGAGGAGAATAATCTGCCACTGTGCTTGGCGTTTGTGGACTATGAGAAAGCCTTTGACTCCGTCGAGACCTGGGCCGTGCTTAGGTCACTCCAGAGGTGCCAAATAGACTATCGATACATCCAAGTATTGCAGTCACTGTATGAAAATGCCACCATGTCAGTTCGGCTCCAGGACCAAAACTCGAAAGCAATACGAGTTCAGCGTGGAGTGAGACAGGGCGATGTTATATCGCCGAAACTGTTCACTGCCGCACTGGAGGACATGTTTAAGCTTTTGGATTGGAGAGGACTTGGCATCAATATAAACGGCGAGTACATGACGCACCTTTGTTTCGCTGATGATATCGTAGTCATGGCTGAGACCACGGAAGATCTAGGCACAATGCTCGAAGATCTCTGTAGAGCTTCCCAACAAATAGGTCTTAAAATGAACATGGACAAGACGAAAATAATGTCATACTTATTGGTGAACCCCAATTCTGGGCCACCAATGTTTCAAATATATTTAAAGTGGATACTATGCATATGCAAACACGTTAAATAAAGATTTTATGAATTTTATTTATAGTTGGCAAGAACATCAAAATAGAAGTGAAGTAAAAAAAAAACAATAGGCATGGACAGCTAATCACAAAAATAAACATTGTGTCAAATAAATCAGAAGAGTAAAATTGTTCTAAAAAAGTATTTTATACATGAGTAAAAACTCCTTGCTCTAACACTCCTCCTCAATTTTATCTCTTTTATTCCATACCTATTCATACAACACTCATATCATACCCATACAACATTCATACAACACCCGTACTTGACGTACACCACTCAAACTTACCTTTCAACAAAGGTTTAGTCAAAGAGTCAGCAACCATGCGTTCAGTTTTTACATATTCTAACTCAATATGCCCATGCTCAACTGCTTCCCTTATAAAGTGATGACGTACTGCAATGTGTTTTGTACGCTGATGATGCACAGGATTGTGCGCGATTGCAATGGCTGATTGACTGTCACTGAATATCTTAATTGGCATCTCCTCCTTAAAATCCTCCACAAATCTTTTTGTAAAAATTGCCTCTCTAGCGGCTTCAGACATTGCAATGTATTCCCCTTCAGCTGTTGATAATGCAACGGTCTTCTGCTTTTTGCTTTCCCAGCTGACAGCAGCTCCCATATGCATAAATACTGCTCCTGAATATGACTTCTTATCATAGCAGGAAGCATGACTTGCATCCGCATAACAATGTAATTCATCTGATACACTTCTCTTATACATAAGTCCATAGTGTTTGGTTCCTTGAAGATACCTTAGCACACGTTTTGCAGCCATCCAGTGTTCTTCAGCATAATGGCTATGAAACTGGCTTAAATAATTTACAGCGTATGCTATATCTGGTCTTGTACATACAGTCAAATATATTAATGAGCCTATCACATTCCGATAGGGCACGTCAGGATCAGGTCTATGTTCCGGTCCAGGCTTGCTTAGATTTAAACCTGTAACCGCAGGTGTAGCAGCTGGCTTGCAGTCTTCCATTCCAAAGTTCTTCAACACCTTGTTGATATACTTTGATTGGTCCACTTTGATCCCTAAATCACTTTGAGTAATCTTCATTCCCAGGATCAGTTCCGCTTTGCCCAAGTCCTTCATGTCAAACTTTGACATAAGATCCCTCTTAACTTTGCGTAGTTCATCTTCATCATTCCAAAAAATTAACATATCATCGACATAAACCGCTAATATGATCACAACATTTCCTTTAGATCTAGTGTACACGCAAGGTTTATTTTTAGATCTCCTGAATCCCAACTTTAATAACTCATGATTGAGTTTAGTATTCTACGCTCTTGGAGCTTGTTTTAATCCGTATAATGAACGTTTCAGTAGACAAACATGATCTTCCTTTCCTTTTTCTTCGAATCCTTCCGGTTGTTTCATGTAGACAGTTTCATCAAGTTCCCCATTTAGAAATGCTGTCTTCACGTCCATTTGATCAATGCTTAAACCTTGTTTCACAGCCTGAGCAATAAGTACTCGTAGAGAACTGTGTCTCACTACTGGTGCGAAGGTTTCAT